TCAACACATGCAAATGAAAAACTCCATCAATGCATGAAATCAAAAACCATAAATGGAAACAATACATCCAGAACACGGCATATCATGCATGCCCACAAGTTCCAAACATCCCAATCCAAAAAAATTAAAGTTATCAAAAACTTAAAAAATAACATCTTCCATAGTTTTAAACAGAAAACAAAATCCAAAAACTCAATTGAACCAATAATAGAAAAGATGCAATAGTGAATAACTGCAAAAAAATGAAAAACCAAAAGTTGTAATCAAGAAAAACTGTGCCAAACAAAAAAAAAAAAGAGCCTCTATCAAAACACATAAAAACCTTAAAAATAAAAAACCCTTTTCAAACTTACTGAAAACCCAAAAAAAAAAAAAAAAACCCAATGATTTGGCTACCAATGGCTGCGATTTTATATTAATCAAAGAAAAAAAATCAAATCATGCAAAAACATATCACAAAATGAATATCATAATAAATATTTCTAGAGAAATGATTTTTTTCCTAATTTTTAAAACAATATATTAAGAAAATAAATACCATTTATTTTAGTATCTATTGATGGCTGATTTCTTCTTCAAAAAGCCCAATGATTTGGCTGCTTACGGCTGCAACTTTATATTATACACCCACTATCCTAAGATCTTTCATCATGTAAATCTCTCTTTTTTTGTTCCCTATGCTTTCGTTGTTCCCCCATTCTCTCCCTTTTAAATTTTCAAAAATGAAAAAAAAAAAGTCAACTCATCGAATTAAAGACCACCTCCCTAATAGCCTCCAGAAGCTTCTAAATTGAGTTTTTTCCCCAATTACCCTTTCAATCATTTTTTAGTACAATGATGGACTATATATAAGATTGGAAAGTTAAAGATAGTTATTATATAATAATATATATATAATATCAAATCAATAATAAAAGTAAACCGACTATTATAATTATCAGTTTAAGCATTGACATGTCATCTTAGCGTAAAAAAAAGAGCTAGTGAAGATGAGATCCACATCTATCTATCTATATAATTAATTTTACATATGTACATAGGTTTCATGAAATGTCACTTGGCACTCCATTGCAATTTTCTTTTATTTATTTATTTATTATTTGTAAATATTTAATAATTATTTTTTATTGTTAAAATTTTTTGTTTGTTATCCATTTGATATTATTAATTAAAAATGTATACATTTTTTTCTTTTTTTTTATATGTGTAGCAAGCATTTGATAGGTTTTAATTCATCTAGATCAAATATGTTTTTTTATTTATTTATTTAAGATTCGTTTGAGTTTTTTTTTTTTTAAATTAAGGTTAGGTTAGATTTGTGTTTAGAATATTTCATTTTGTCCGAGCATATATAAATAAATATTTTATTATTTATTTAATTATATATATTATATTAATAAAATTATTATTTAATATCTTAATTTAATTTAATAAATATAAATGGCATCTCCATTTGGGGTTTTTTTTTTTTTTGTTATTTTTTTTTGTTTTTTAGTCTTTGACTTTTTTAATTAGATAAATTTTATAACAAAAAAATCAATGTATAATGATAAAATAACCCATACCCATGAGTGTTGATTTGTCTGATTTAATATGTAAAAATTTTTAAAAATTTTGGGATAAGATCAAGGTTTTTTTTTTGTTTTTTTAAATTGAGATCAAGTTAAAGGTAAGATATAAGGTACTTTGTCTTACCTCAAGTATATATATTTATATATATAATTATATTTTTAAATATTTATTTATTTTATATTTATATATATAGTATATTAATAATGTTATTATTTAATATTTTAATGTAATAAAAAATATATTTATAAATAATTAAAATGTAATCCATCTATTTATTCATTTAATATAAAAATTTTACTCATTTTAATTTTTATTTGACCCTCATTTATGGTGTCGACGTGACACATTATGTTTCTTTTTTTTTAATTTTTTCTTTATTTTTTCAACTTTTTTGGGTTTTATAAAAAAAATTTCTTTTAATTTAGATAAATTTTATGAAAAATCCAATTGAGTTGTCCAATAAACACCTTAACTTGGTATTTTTCTTTCATTTTTTTAATTAAATAAATTTTGTAACAAAAAGAATTAGTGGATAAGGATGACAAAATAATTTATATCCAATAGATTTTGATAAGTCTCGATCCAATAAGAGGGTCATTTTTTTTTGTTTTTTGTTTTTTAACTTTTTGCTTGTTTCATTTATGTTTTTATTAGATAAATTTTGTAACGAAATATAATATCATGTTCACAAAATACCCCATTTGTTTATTTCCTTTTGTATTTTTTTGTTACATAAATAAATTTTACAATAAAATAAATTGGTTGATAGAAATTGCAAAACAATCAATATCTAGTGATTCTAATCTATCTCGATTCGATATGAGCATTTATTTTTAAAAAATAAGATATAGTCAAGTTGGGTTCTTTATTTGTTTAGGAAGATGAGAAAAAGTCAAAAAATGATTTAAGGTATTGTACCCAAGTCATTCCATTGTATTTATAAAAGTATATATTTTTATTATTTATTTGATTTTATATTATATATATATGTTTTATATTAATAAAATTTTTATTTTATACCTTAATTTAATATATTAAAATTTTAAAGTAAATTTAGATATCCACATGGCACCTCGATTATATCACTTTTCCTTTTTTTATTTTTTTTTCCTCTTTATTGTTTTTTATTTTTTAATTAATAAAATTATTATTTAATACCTTAATTTAATATATTAATATTTTTAGCTCATTTGTGATGTCTATGTATTACCCCAATAAACTTCATTTTTCCTTTTTCTTACTTTGTTATTTTTATTTTTGATTTTTCTTGTTTTTTTTCTTTTGTTTTTGTTTTTATTTTTGGTTTGTCATTTGCCTTATTTGTTTTTATGCCTTTTTAATTAAATTAATTTTGTAAAAGAAAAGAAACCAATGGAAGTATCCACACGACACCTCTATTTGGCTTTTTTTGTATTTTTTTATTTTTTTATTATATAAAATTTATAACAAAATATATCAATTGATAGAGATGTCAAAATAATTTGTATCTTGTTAGTTTTGATCAATTATGATCGATAGAGTGATTTTTTTAAAAATTGAGATTGAGTTGAGATAAATTGAGTTTTTTTTTTAAAAAAATGAGATCAAGATTAAAGCATGTTTAGCATGCATAGGACCTATTTCGAAATATACATAAAAATATATATATTTTATTATTAATTTTATTTTAAATTTATATATTATATTAATAAAATTATTATTTAATATATTAATTTAAGAAATTAATATTTTAGGTTCAATGGGAGTGTCCATGTATTAACTTATATGAGCTTTTTTTTTTTTTGGTTTTTTTCACTTTTTTTATTTTGATTTTGCTTTTTAATTAAATAAAAATTTTGAGAAAAATAAAATTGAGATATTCATGTGTCACTTTCATTTATTATTTATTTTTTTAATTAGAAAAATTTTATAACAAAAAATTTATAAATAAAATAACAAAAAAAAAATTTAACCTACTACAACGCGCAAGTATTTAGCTAGTAACTATTAAAACTTGGTTAATTTGTGTTGTCTAAGACAAAAGAAAAAAGTTAAATATTTCAGCTCAATACCCCTTGTATGTAATGGGTTTGTCTAAATAAAAGCCAAGGCCTTGCGGCTTGCCCAAAGAAAGCCTAGATCAGTCATTCGGGTTTCTAACTTAAGCTCAACCCAAAATTCTGTTTGGTCCAAACACTTTGAAAATTTGGGAGCAACACGCGGGGTTTTTCCCTTTCTATTTTCAATGCAGCTAAAACAACACTTTCTTCTTCATGCTTCGCCTCCATTCTCTAAAACCGCCGACCCCTGCCGGGACAATCCATAACCAACGTTCTCCAGGTACATTTCAACGGTTAGATATCGTCGACGTCCATTCTCATGGTACCTTCTCGTTTCAGCATGCATTTGTTAATCTTAAGATAATTAATGATTTGATTAGCAACTTAATTGACTTTCACCCAATTTAGCCTTTATTGCAGCTTCATATGATTTTAGGGAACCTATTTTTGATCTTTAATTTTTTCTTACTCTAAGTTTCTTGCTTATGGAATTCATCAAACACTTTTCAGATGGCCAAAAAACACTTTTTACTCATAATGTTAGATGCAAAACTTTGATTTAAATGGTTTTGTAAATATATTATTAAGATTTTTGGTGAAAGTTGTGGGCTTTAATCTTTGCTAAAGTTCATAAACCGAATGAAGTTTGGGTTGTAGATGAACAGGTGACTTTGTTTTGCTGCTATTGAATAAGTAGTTCCTGGTTTTGGGGAGTATGGCTTTTTCGATCTCAAGAAGGATTGTACGTTCTTTTGGGTCATTGTCTGCCTTGGGGCGTCAGGGATCTCCAATTGTCACATCTCGTTCATTTCATGCTTCTGGTAAGAGTAATATACTAACATATCAACATTGTTTATTTGCTTATCTGTGATTGCAATACTTGACTTGGTACTTTTTCTATTCCTAACCAGATTTCAGTGGCTGTATTTTGGGCGATAAGTTACCTCATGCAGAATGTTATAGCTTTTCCAAGGTTTGTTGTCATTTTGTTTTTTTTTTTTTTCTCTCCTAAATATTAATTTGGATCGAATCTATCCAATAGGGTGGGAAATCAATTTTAGAAAAAGGGATTGGGAGGGGGTATCAAGGTTACTAGTTAATGTTCCAATATTGTTATTATCCTTCATTGTTAATTTAAAAGAATTGACTTATAACAGGATTTTGGTTTCTGCATCTAGTGGAGGTGCTGGAAAACCTGTAGCAGACATCATAAGAATTCTGTATTCTTTGTATTAATCTGTTACTTCCCCACTTCTAGTCTCTTCCCAGTGGTTTTGCATGTTTATGCATTTAACATGCTAACCTCTTGTTTTCTTCTCTATCATGGCTGTTCTCTGTATTTTATTAACCTATGCTACATATATTTGCTGTAGGGTGGTCCATCTTTCCTTGCTTGTCGTAGGTTTTCAACTGAAATTTTCACTCCTGATTCACGTGGAGGTGCTTTTCCATCCGATTTATTGTCTTCAAAGACTGTACTAACACCAGAGCGTACAATAGGTATGGGAAAGAATATAGTACCATATTCCATATGTAGCTGTTTGCCTTTAAAAATATTGTGATGGTAGTGGCACTTTCATTTTACCGTAGTTTGAAGCCAATATGCATTGGTAGGAAACCTTTGGAATTTTCTTTGGCTTTCTATTGGATATAAGGATATCAAAGATTGAGGACAAATATTGTTACCAAGCCACATGATAATTTGTTTCTGTGCTAAAACTTGCCTCCAGGAATCATCTTGAAAGATGCCAGCTCGTGAACCTAAGTCTCCATGGTTTTATATTGCCTTCCGTTTGGCACTTGTGTTAGTTAAACTGAGTCCAGCTTATAAGCATTTCAGTAATAGCAGGAATAGGTCAATGGTGCTTTTTTGTTTAAAATGAGCAGCATTGTTCTATTGAATTAATGTATTATGGTGCAGGACTTTATGAGGACCTGGTAATTCCTGTGACAAATTTTCATAATGAAGAGAAGGGCTTCATGGTTTTGGCTGGTGATGTTTTTGATGTACCTATTAGAAAGGATATTATCCACCGTGTTGTACTATGGCAGCTTGCAAAACGACAACAGGTGCCATTTCATCCTTCAAAAGCACACACATCTAGGTATTATTGTGAAATTCTTGAGACTATTCCTTATATGTTTTTTTAACTTAATACTTTCTTAGTTTCTTTCCTTTTTGTCCTTCTATTTCCAATAAATTGTGTAAACAGTTTTTCACTTATGCAGTCAATCTGCTAAGTATGAAGATTAGTTACAATTGAATGGTCAACAGTGAACACATTCAACAAAAACTATTAGTGAGGTTAGTGGGACTGGTAGAAAGCCCTGGCAACAGAAGGGTCTTGGTCGAGCAAGGCATGGAACTCTGCGTGGTCCCCAGGTGATTCATTTTTCTGCTCTTTGATTTTAAGAATTTTTAGAACTATGTAGCCTTCTATGGCCTTTAATTGATTTTTGGGGTCGATAACAGTTTCGAGGTGGTGCTACTATGCATGGCCCTAAGCCAGGAAGTCATGCTATTAAGTTGAATAAGAAGGTTCGACGCCTTGGACTGAAGATTGCGCTGTCTGCTCGTGCTGCCGAAGGCAAGGTAAGTTATCATCTAGCTCATGTATAAAACTTTTTAGAATATTAGTACTTTTTTTTTCATTTTATAAAATAGTTTTGCAGATTTACCGATGAATGCCAAACAAAGTTTTACTTTCCTAATTGAGTTTTGAAACCTTGCCAATGAATATTGCACAATTGAACAGCTTCGTCTTTGAGGATTTGGAGGTTCCTACACATAAGACAAAAAATATTGTGAACTATATAAATCAAATGGAGAATACTAAGAAACTTCTGCTGGTGGATGGTAGCCCCATAAATGAAAAGTTGAAGCTAGCTACACAAAATCTACATTATGTCAATGTATTGCCATCAATTGTAAGTTGCTTTAATGGTAATAATACAATGATTCCCTTGTTACGAAAATGTAGTAAAACTATATGCAATAGATTTCTTTGTCATAAATGACATGTTGAAACACTATCTTATTAACTTTTAATTATCACTGTCATCATGATAGATTTGGATGTAAAACAATCCCAATACTCCCTGGTATTTATATGTTTGTTTTATGAACTGCATCATGTTCTCTGATTGCTTTAATAAGCTATTTCTGAAGTTGGCTTGTACGTTTTTCGTTCATGATGCTGAGGCTTTTTTTGTGTATCTTTTTGCAGCGCTTGAATGTCTATAGCATCTTGCTGCACGACACATTAGTGATGTCCCGTGATGCTGTTAACGGGATAGTTGAGCGAATGCACACTCCAATCAACCGTTGAACTAGAATGGTGTGCCTTGTTTCTTCTATTAATTTCCTCTTGGAATAGGAAGCCTTTCATTTTCCTAGAAGCTGCTGAATCAATATGTATGTTGTCTATGATAGTAAAATTTTCACATTCATGGCTGGATGTATATTTATATGTATCAACATTCCACATTCAACTATGATTTTTGTAGTTCAAATTTGGTAAGCCAAAAAACGGAGAACTGCAGACTTTGAGCTATTAAGACGATTTTGTTACTTTCTCCTATATGGTAGTAATAAATTTTCTTACGTGGTGCTTGTGACTTTGAAATCTGAATTCCTTGGACATAGATTTCTTTCTAGTACCGGCAATACAACCCGATGACAATGAAAGGTGAAGCAAAGCTTTGGGAGCTTGGCCCTTATGTTTCAATCATCATTTAAGTTGAAGCCACGGGCCGAAAGGGGTAACTTGATGTAGAATCATGGCACCCATGTGTTCCAAAGTTTATATTTGTAGCTATATTTTATAGCCGATTAGAGCATATGCACATGGGAATTTCAATTCAATATTGATAATTATTTATAAGCAGCTATGCTAAAATCTCTAAAATATTACGGGCTCTTTTTCTTTCCTTACCCATTGACCGGAGCAGTGAAATTTTGCTGACTGTAAGCATCCCAAATCCGAACAATAACTGTGGGTCTCAAGCTGGAGCCCAGCAGTGAAGTACTACGGCGAAAAATGAAAAAAATGGGTTGGAAATGGAAATGGCGAATGGGGAACGGATATGGAGACAATCCTTCATTGCACTGAAATTGAACGTGGCATCGTCTAATTAGCCAAAGCAAAAGGCAACTAATAGATGAATATCTAGCATGCAAGGCATATGCTTACATGGGAAATCAGAGTTACCAAAATACACTTTTAAATTATCCACATTATTATTACATAAAAATTAAAAATAAAATCACTGTAACTCCAGCTCTTCACTGTGTTGTCTCCAGATAGTCCTTTCTTCTTGTCTGAGGTGTCTCTATTCTCTCTTTCTCACTTCCATGAGTGGAACTTAGGGTTTGTCTTTCTTTCTTTCTTTCTTCCCCCCTTAATTCTTTCAAAACTGTGTGGTTTCATTAAGAAAAAAGATATCAACTTCCCTGTAAACCTCTGATCTTGACCGGAGCTCCAAACCCTAGCCTCCATGGCAAAAACAAGACCAGGGCTCTCTGCTGCCAAGCCCAAACCAGGGAAGAAAGACCTCGACTCTTACACCATCCGAGGCACCAACAAAGTTGTCACAGGTAAAGTGTTTTACATGTAGATATACGCCTACATATACGTATATGCCGTTAAAAAAATTGTTGCTTTGGTGATGTCGAAGATGTCTTCTGGGAATTTTCGAATCTTGACATTGGGTGTTTGTCAATATGAAAATTTCAAATATCTCAATTACAATTGGTTTTGACGGTTAAGAAGTGAATGTTTGGTTGTTTTGGTAGTCGGGCTTTTGCTTTTTGATGGGTTTAAAGGATGCAATGGCATTCATGTTGAAAGATGTAAGTCTGTTGGCAGGGTAAAGGTGGCGGCTTTGCAACCATCTATCAATGTATATTAACATCAATGTATATGCAAATACATGTGTTTTAAAGGTGTAGATAGATGTTAAATAATGTTGTTTGTGATGGCTAAGAGTGAAAGTTTGATGTTTTTGCAGTTGGGGATTGTGTTCTGATGCGTCCTTCCGACACTGGTAAGCCCCCCTATGTGGCTCGAATTGAGAAAATTGAATCAGATAGCAGGAATAATGTGAAGGTTCGAGTGCGGTGGTATTATCGTCCTGAGGAATCGCTTGGAGGAAGGAGGCAGTTCCATGGAGCAAAGGAGCTGTTTTTGTCTGACCACTATGATGTGCAAAGTGCTCACACCATTGAAGGGAAGTGCATTGTTCATTCTTTCAAGAACTACACTAAGCTTGAGAATGTTGGGGCTGAGGATTACTATTGTAGATTTGAGTATAAAGCCGCTACTGGAGCCTTTACACCCGACCGAGTTGCTGTGTGAGTATTATGATCTGTTGGCTTGTGAAATATGAGTTTTTCTTATTGGCAATATGTCTTTGATTCTTTGGTTCCGCTGGGTTTTTCTGTTTTGAAGATACTGCAAATGTGAGATGCCATACAACCCTGATGATCTTATGGTGCAATGTGAGGGCTGCAAGGACTGGTATGGTGTTGTATGCTTCTTTTTATGATTTCCCAGTGCCACCTGCAGTATAATTTTTAAGATTGCTACATGTTCTTCTTTCCATTCTTGTAGGTATCATCCTGCTTGTGTGGGCATGACAATTGAAGAAGCAAAAAAGTTGGGCCACTTCGTGTGTTCTGAATGTTCTGAGGGTGTCAAAAGATCACAAAATGGATTTCATGCTTCACCAGTATCTGATGCAAAGGTAAGACCACTTCTTGACCAAATTCTCATCATTGAAAGTCAATTTTCTTTCTTTTTTTTCTTTAACCTATCTAGTTTTTGCTAATCCTCTGGTACACAATTTGCTGGATCTATTTTTCGTGTCCTCTGAGGAACTTTATGGATGTAAGGTGCAATTAACAGGAATGTTCATCCTGTGCAAATCATGCATCAAACCACATGCAATTGACATATTGTTGTTCCAATAACAAATAACAGATACTGGTTTCTAAGTTGTAGAAGTTATTTGGAACAGTTATAATATTTCTTGATTTCTTGCAGAATTTATAGTTGAAAACTTCACTTTGGTTTTACATTTGACTCTATGTGCATGTTTGTTTCACTGAGTTTATTGTATTCAGTAGTGTAAATAGTTATTATTTCCATGTGCCCAATTTTTTTATTGGTTTTATGTCTTTATCTAGCAGTGTGCATAGTTATTATGGCCATTTCATTGCATTTTTAAGATTAACAAGGTCATTTGCTGGTCAAGACTGCGATTGTTGTACTTGTTACCAAAGTGTGCCAAACATTATACCCATTGCATTAGCAGGTGGTTTGTGAGTTTGCCCCTGCTCTCTTTTAATTTTGTTAATTGGGCTTCAAGAACATGATATAGACGTGTAGGCAATCATCTCATTCTAGACATGAAGTTTAGACATTTTAGATATAAAAATGTCACTGAATATAGAGAAAAGTCCATTTATCTGTATTCTTTGCTTAGAAAACAATTATATTGTTTTTTGAGGTTCTGCCTCTACTTCTCATTATTATGATCTTTTCCAGGTGGAGCCCAAACGGCGGAAGAGATAAGAAAATCATGGGGAAATTTTGTTGCATGAGAACACTCTTTATGCAGATTTAGCTTGTAGCCTGTTGTATGAGTTGTATAGTTGCAGAAATTGTGTGCTTTGCCCAAACTGGTGGCTGTTAGTAACTTATGTGTTGGAGACATCTGCATCTGTGTTAGGTTTAGGAGATTAAGTCTGCAGGAGGATTGATCTGTAGTTCTCCGACGTTGAACCAATATTTGCCGCAGAAAAACTTCCAAGTATCACCTTTTCACTTTCGCCTTTGTTTTTGGTAACACATCTTATTGACTTGTTTTGATTATGCATTGCCATCTCACCATAAGCTTGGCCTAAGAGGGTTCCAAGAATAACAAGCTTGCCTCATATTAAACAACGATATAGAATAATCACAGAAGCTCAAGCTTAATTTGAGACTAATATTAAACAACAAAGAATGTTACATGTTATAAGCAGAACATGCTTAAAAGTGAAAAGGGCAATATGTCAATCTGTTAGACACATACACTCTTTACACCGTGGATACCGGTAAACACTCCTAGCCTTAGGCCTACTCTGGACATGTTTAGTTTGCCTAACGGCCTTCCTCACTCTCTGCTCAAACACTTTCCACTCTATAGTATTGTTCTTCAAGAATATAGTAGCGAGTCTCCGCTTGTTAGGGCGTATTGTAGGCATCTTCCCTCCACCATAGTATATTCGATGGCCAGATACCAAAGATGACAACTGGCTACCAGAGTCCGTCATGGCAAATGCATCAGCTGCAGTGCAGGCGATGAAGTCCAGTGCCGCTAGCTACAGATGAAATAAGGTCATCATGTCATTGCACTCACACGAAGTATGACAGTAACTAATGAGAAGAGCATAAACAATCAACGGAAAACCATTTCTCCTAATCTTACAAGTCCTAAAAATGCTATATAAAAAGTTTTAATAAAATAATTTCCAAATATCTAAATTAGTTATTCAGAACCTATATAACTTTGATCATTAATGCAGGAGGCGGTATCAGAATAACCTGTAAAACAAGCATTTAGCAGTTTGTGCATGATGAAAAGAGCTAATATTAAAATAATTCACAAAGTTCAAATTTCAGTAGGGATCAGCTGCTCAAGAACCACCACTTATCAATGCAACAATCGCAAAAAACCTAAACTGTTATCAAACAAGAGGTGTCAATGTCACTTTGTTACCTGAGATGAGAAGTTCAGGAATGGTTCAAGTTCCGCTGGTGTAAGCAAATTCTCTTTGGTAACCAAGTTAGGATACAAGCTCGTCAAAGCAACCAATCTTGCTGTCCCTCCATATATTTGTGCCCCTGCCACATATATATGAGTCTTACGGTTGAAACCTAGAGCAGCAAGCATAAGTACTGCTTCTTCTGGTGTTAATGGACATAACCCTTCAGACCTGAGCATGGCAGGGGAAGGTAACCTGAAACAAGTAAAAACAGTTTGTCCCAATATAAAGCAATATTTTGCATGTTTCTCCTCCAAATTTACCAGGAAAGAAAACAAAGGAGATTAAAAAAAATGATAGAGAAGAAGAAATAGAAAATTATCCATACTTTTGTGTCTTCTCGAGCTCTGTTAATGCAGGAAAATGGATTTGTCGATATGCTTCCAATTCTTGCCTCTCTTCTTCACCTCCACCAAACTCACATAAAGAATGAGCTACCATGTCAATCTCAAATCTCAAATGCAAAGCAAGATATCTGGAAGCTTTTGCAGCACGATCACTCCTTGCAATCATAGCTGATACTGCACGTGGACCAACAAGATAATGATCCAATAGTCCTGGCCGAGCTGCATGCCGGCGCAATCTTTCAAGGAGTAAAGCTGCAGTTTCTTGTATTTTTGGAACAAATTTAAGTGCATGAAAATTACATCTGCATCGAAGTCTCTAGATAAAGTCCCCCAATTAGGAAGAGCAAAGTAGGAAAGAAAAGGGTATAGCCATCAATTTTATTATCAAGAACTGCTTATGAAGTTTATCTAATGAATAAAGCTAGCATTAAAAGCAGCCTTTTATGGTTACATATATAAAGGCTAGAAATACCTGCAACTGAAATGGTATTGGGTCAAATGCCAAACGATTCCCAAATCCAACAAAATGGACAGCTCTTTTCTGGAGTAGGATAGGGAGAATGTTTTTCAGATAAAAACTTGGTTTAGATTCCTTCCTAATATCTACATCTGTCACCTGGAAAATCAATTGAACAATCACTATAGACAAAAGACACACTAAGACAAAAGTTGCAAGCAAAAACCATTCAGAACTTGATTTAGAGGAAGAAACTCACAACGCTACCAATGGCCTCCAAATCTAGTGACTTTAGCTCCTCAGGAAGTTCTTTCACTATTTGAATGTCAGGAGTCAGGTAGTTAATAAAATGCTCCTCCTGATAGATATCGCTGAATTGACTATGCAATTTAAAATTTGATTTGGTTATTTTTCCATCTAGACCAAATAGAAGTCATCTCCATAGATACTAAATAAATTTCATCTGAAAGTAAATTCCAATCATTTAGTGCTTAAAGATCAAGAATATACTGGAAAATGTTAAATGTTTTGATGCAAGAGAACATCCATCTTCTGAGGGGAAAGAAACATAAAAAAGGTTAAGAAGGAAATCACTCTGAAAAGAAAAGAAAGGAACATCGACAAGCCTCACCTTACATCTTTCCAGACACTACTGTACATAAATTTGGGAACAACAAGAGTTGCATTAAGTAATCGAGCAACAACTACAGCATTGCAGACCTGTCACCAACAGTAACTTTTAGCAATCATAAACTGTGTACTAAACTCAGAAAGAGAGGAAAGTTGAATGCAGATTCAAGAGATTGGAACACACACTAGCATTTCGGATATGTAATCACTTACAGCTACACGTTGCTGGTTCATTCCACCATTTGCAGTAACCATAATGTATCCATTCTTCCCCTCTGGAAATAACAAAAGGTATTATGTCAGGACTAGTTTAAATTATCTATGCTCCAGTGAATTAAACATATAGAAGTCAGAGAGAGACCACTAGGTTCCCAGTTATGTTGATCAGCACAAGGTCTCCAAGCAGAAGCAGGAACCACAGGTTCCTGCCATAAATCTTTTGGCTCACGTTTATTTTGCCCCTATATGTCATAACACTTTTTTCAATGAAAACATGCAAAACCAGAAGAAGAGATAAACAGTATCGACATAGGCTGTTCATTATAGGGAATAAACAGAAAGACATCATTGGTTATATTCAAATACCTCTGCCAAAGCATGAGCAGCCAAAGCCAACATCCTTCCATAAATACCATTATATTGCTTTTTCCCCTTACTAATCTTTTTCACCTTTCCCTGCAAAACCCACAAAAGCAATGCAATTGGCAAATTATACTAGCTATCTTTCATTTAGTAAGTTACTAATATATGATTATTACCACTTCTTGAAACTGGAATTAATAATATTAACCTTTCACCGATGCCGCAAATCGCCTCCTAAATGTCCATTCTTTTCCTTATCATTAATGTATTCTATAATAATTCCAAAATAAATCTCAAAGCCAATGAGATGAGACTATGAGAGTTGAGCTACGTACCTGAACCGAAACGGAAGAAGAATTCCTGGAAGATCCAGTATGGCGTCCGACCCGGTGATCTTGTAACCTCAAAAGCATAAACCAATTGACCAAGAAAAACAAACCCACCAATGCAATCACCACCACAAGTCCTTTCACCCTATTCTTGTGGTACCAAACTTTCCCTCCTTTTCTCTTCACCTTCTTCGATTGCTTCTTTCGACTACCCCACAATATTCCTAACAATTCAGCTCCAACAAATGAGCCGCTCTTTTCACCATTCATGAACCGACTGGGGCCGAGTCGTGGGGACCGACTCGGAGAACCCTGACGACTCCTCGGACTCGAGCGAAGTTCGACCCGGTCGGGAATTCGGATGGTGTCGGGTTGATCTTGTTTAGATTCAAGAAAAAGATTGTGGAAATTGTTTGCGTTATTAGTTAAAGACATTGATTGATGGGGTTTAAGGTTTGGATCTAATGCGAGAGTTAAGAGAGATTTGCTTTTGGCTTTGGTTGTTTGTCAGCGTAGCGATAAAAACGGCAGCTTTTATGGTGGGATGTTAGAGTGCGAATTTGCCGAAACCGGCAGGTGATGACGGTACCTTGGAGTGGGTTTAAAATTTCTTCCTTGTCTTAAAAACTATGGGATAAATCAGGGGATCATTAATTTCATTGAGAGATTACAACAGTTTTCCCCTTTTTTTTATTTACATTTTTTTTCAATTTTTAATTTTAATAAAAAGTAGAAACTATAATTTAAGGATGCTAAAATAATTCGATAGATTTGATTTGTCTTTGATAAAGTCAGATTTTTTTTTTTTTTTAAATCAAGTTAGGTTGGGTTTTTTTCTTTAAATTCGGTTTTGAGTTGGAGTCAGATTTTAGGAGATATCATCTTTGATCCGATCTTGATTTATAAAATATATTTTTAATTAATTTAATTATATATTATATTAATAAAATTATTATTTAATATTTTATTTAAAATATTAATTTAATAAAAATATTTATTTATAATTAAAATATAATTTTATAAATATTATATTAAATTAATTTTAAATTAAATCAATTGTGATTTAAAAATATATAAATCAAATTAAATATAAAAAATAATATTTTAATGTCAAATCTAATGAATTTCAAATATAAATATTAAAAACTTTAATAGAGCGAAAACCTATCCCAGTCTAACTTAATTCATTAACATCCTTATTCTTAGCTAGATTTCCACTAAAAATTAAGAATGGAAGAGAATTCCTTAAATGATCTAAAAAAAAAAAAAGAGAATTTTATTTTTCCCTAAAATTTTCAATTTATTATCGTTACATCACATCACCAAATTAGGCCGGTCCAAAATCTTGCTTGCATGGACAATGGGCCGGCGTTTTCATAGTATCATCGCACCTATTTTTATAAGACAAAATGAATCGACCTAGAGAAGCCCAAAGCAAAAGGAGGTCCAATAACAAGTACCAGAAAACTGGTTGGCTGCAGCTGTTATCAAAGTCAGAAAATTTATTCAAAATTATTGCCCAAAACGCACTGAGCCACTGATCCGACTCCGATGACAAGTAACATAAAGGATTCACATGGCACAGCCTGTTTTTGACTCTTATGATAAACCCACGTTGACTTTTTCAGTCACAGTTTCTTTCCCAATAGCATCTAGGCAACAAGAGTTCTGACGTCACGAAATGGAAATGTGGCAGGTCCACAATCACAATCCATTAGCACAACACAACTCGTGTTAGCAATTTATGGCGGAAAAGCCAAAGACCAATGGAGACAGACATGGGACTGAAACATGAAAACCATGAGGACGAAACAAAGGAATGTGATGTACTTTGCTTGAATTATAGAAAATTCTTTTTTTTATTAATTAAGCTGCAAAACGTGAATGTGCATCATAATGTCCAATAATACACCTATACATCTGCAATGGAAACTATAAACTTAAAACTGAAAGTGTGTGAGATATAATTACATAACTTTTTTTTTGCTTTTTCCATTCTCGATTTTGATTCTCTTACAGATATTTTCCGCTTAACTTGTTTGCTCTTTTAGTCATCCTAGACCTTGTCATGTTGCATACACGTTTGCGAGGCATCAGTTTCAAGCTGCGGAGTTCCAACCAGACACTTAAAATGACATTTCTATTGCCTCAGGATCTGACGTCTTATATGCAAATCCTGATTCGTCACTGGATCGCCTTTTGACTACACTTGCCCTTTGCACTAACCTCACTAAAGCTTGGACAACCTCAGACATGGGAGGCCGGAACTCCGGTTCCGGCTACATAGGAAAAAAAAAAAAAAAGACCTTCTAATTAGCAAATTTTTATTTCCAGAAATATTTTAAGAAAAAACACAAAAATAAAAGTCAACAATGTCTTATTTTTCTTTTCTTTTACCCTACAAAACTAATCAGGTTAACTTAATCCAAATAGTCCAAAGTATTAGTAAGTTCCTTTACCTGAACACAGAGAGCAATGATGTCTGCGAAGCGTGACAGAGATTTTGCTGGATACATGCCATTGAGGGCAGGATCAACCATTTTTGCCAGGGCATCTATATCATGTAGTTGGGGAGTGGCCCATCTGACAAGTGATTGCTCTGATCTCACCCTTGAACTAAACAATGCAGATTAAGCCAAAACAAAATTTTACTTGGACAGATAAACAAAGCATTGTAACAATGCCAAAATATAAAGATCATCATATAGTGATTTCTGACCGCTAAATACAGAAAACAGGTTTTACCTGTCCAGTGGTTTCCGACCAGTCAATAACTCCAACATCACCACCCCAAAACTGTACACATCACTCTTTACCGTATATACTCCTGACAATGCAAACTCAGGAGCACTATAACCAAATGAACCAACCACCTGTGTTGAAACCTGCCCAACATGGAATCAAACAAAGAAATAAAGAGCTAGCATAAAACTTCCCTTCACAGATGGCAGTTGAGTGAAACCCTGTTCACCAATGACTCATTGTCCAAAGAAAATTTTTACCTGTCGCTCAGTATTTGGCGTAAGAGCAGCTAAACCACAATCTGACAAGTGAGGATTGAGCTCTTCATCAAGTAAGATGTTTGCTGACTTGAGGTTTCTATGTACAACTGAAGGCAAGCACACTTCATGCAAGTACCTGAAAGACAGCTTCATCAGAAAGGAACATATGCAAGCAAGCAGCCAAATGCTAAAGCAACACGTGTGTGCACTGTGGAAGGGAGGGAGAGAGACTCAAAAAAATTGTACACATATAACATACTCTAAAGCCCGGGCAGTGCCAAGTGCCACTCTGACACGTACATTCCAGCCTAATGTCTTGCTGTCATCATCAGAAAAGTGCAGCCTATCATGAAGACTACCATTTCCTATATATTCATATACCAGAAGACGCTGTCCATGCTCTGCACAGTATCCAGCCAATGTAACAATATTGGGATGCCTCAAGCGTGACATATTGGAGACAGCTTCCAGAAAATTGTCTTCCTCTTGTAATGATAGTGCAGAATTGTCTATTTTTTTAATAGCCATTGTCTGGTTTAAACAAGATAAAAATAATTAGTTATCATTCTGAAAAATCTTGCATTATTTCACAAAATATCCAACATTAGTCTTTATTGGAGCACTTCAATATTAAATATTTATTACAGTTAAGTTACCTTTCCATTCGGAAACTCTGCACTGTAAACACGACCAAGGGAACCTTCACCAATAAGATATTCTTGACTAAAACTATTAGTGGCTGTTTGTAAAGAAGCAACAGTATATGATGTAGCAGTGATGGGTGACTTCATTCTGTTTAGAGATCCATTTTTGGACAACCTATCAACTGTCACTTTTTCTGCTGGTGGGGGTTTTAAATCTATAACTGCAGCAACATTTTTCACCCTCTGCTCTTGCATATTGGTATGTCCTGCAAAAATGAAGCAGAATACAGGTCCAGCATTTTTAGGATGCTAGAGAGTTTGCAGCACCAATTACTAGTGAATTTGAAAGGCATTATAAGGGAGAAACAATACTGCCAACAAATTTCTTTAAATCTGGTTGCTTTATTGAAGCAATTTCATTCAATAGTAACCAAAGCAACATTTGATCATACCAATAGACATGAAAGGGTTCAAACAATTTTTAAAATATATCAATCCACTAAGTAAACAAAACAAGCTATAGAATGAGACATGGGCATCTATAGTAGCTGCCTATTGTTACTCAAGTCTTGAAGCTTTTCAATTTTTCATTAGAAATAGATCTCTAGTTAGTGTAGCTCCACATATATTCACGTTTTCAATGAGGAATTATGCAATCCAAAGATGTAACTAAAAAAAAATAATTTCAAAGTAATAGTACTGCTGGGGAACAGAGTATGAAGAAGAAAACCTACCATCATTGGAGCCAACCGAAAGATTCCTTCTTGAAGCCCTTGCACCACCCACCTTTCTTTTATTTTTGCGGATGCAGAAAACAAGAGCAAGTAGAGCCAGGAGAACCAGCAACAAAGAGCCAAGAACTATGCCTACAATAAGTCCAGCTGGTGGTCCCTTATCTGAATCTGATGATTGACCATCAGAAGCAGGGGATGTACGAGCTCCTGATCCAGAGTTATGTTTATTATGGGATCTACCAGGTGGAGATGCACTATATGGTGGTGGAGGAGGGGCAGGCCCATTGGCAAAGGAGTTTCCATCATATCTGTTTCATTTTTTATTGCAAATTCAAACATTTTGCACAAACTAAATATGGAAGAAGTAAATTGGCAGCAATGCTACATCAAGCCTTACATAAAAGTTGGGACTGAAAAAAGCTCTCGAGGAATCCATCCACTGAAATGATTCTTTGCAACATTGCTGTTCAGAATCTAGGGTGCATAAGAACAGACTGACAGGGAGTAAAAATCCAACAGCAGTATTAGAAAAGTAACTTACAGAGTTGTCAATGATAAACCCGAAAGGACGTTAAGAGAACCAGTCAATTGATTGTTCTGCATATACCTGCCACAAATTCAGATATCAATAGCACCTGGTTAAGCTCCACAAATATCTGAAACCGGTTTTCCCATTTGTTTTTTACTCTTAATTAAGCAACACTTTACTTACAGCGTAGAAAGATTGCTCAATGAGCTAAATGAAATAGGAAGATCCCCACTAAAATTGTTGAAGGAAAGATCCCTGCATTAACAAGGTACCCAAATCATAGTGTGGTTAGAAAAATATTTAGAAAAAAAAGGACTACAGGTAAATATTAGAATATAGTTAGATGTTGTTAAGGTATTCAAAACTTCCCTCTACCCCTGATCCTTAATGAAATTCAATCCAAAAACATACAGCAAAATATTTCTCAATTAATGCACATAATTATAAATATAGGGAAGACAAAACAACCTTAAGTTGAACCAAAATCCAAATATAATTTTCCAGTTGGAGCTTTAAATCAACAAATTTCAACACCTTTAAAATGCTTTATGTTACAAACAATTAGGAATTTATTTGGTAAGAGGATTGACAGTACAAATTTATAAAACCATCTAGCCACCCTACCATAAGACATACCTAAAGAAAAACATGTTATTTGATCACTCAAAAGATAAGCATCGAACTCCACAAAAACTTATTAATTCCATAAGATAACTCCATCATCAGAGCTCATTAATTAAACAAGTTAAAAAACTGGGAAACAATTAATTGCATGGCTTCAAAAGAAAATCCACTTAATAAATATCCAAACATAACTGAAATGGAAAGTTTTAAGAGTTAAACCAGACAGTGATGAGTAGAATATTAAAACAACAAGGAATAACAACTTAGATTTCAGAAATTCTACATAGAGCAAACCTAATAGATTACATTAAATATAAAAGGTTAAGTTTTCTTACAAGGTACCAAGGACGGCAAGATTAGCAAAAATGTCTCCAACAGACAGGGAGAGTGAATTATGGCTTAAATTCCTATAACCAAAGATTTAGAATTAGGAAACGTGAGGAAGTTTGATTTGCTACTCAATTGCGCAATGTGTAAACAAATCATCATAGCATTTGAGTTATATCACTTACAGGTAAGTAAGAGTGACCATACTAGAAATTGAATATGGAAGATTCCCACTCAAGTTGTTACCTGCGAGATTCCTGCATCATATAATAAATAAGCATTTTAACATTAAGCAATAAAAAAAATACTTAAAACAATAGAAACAACAATGACTCAGAGACATTACAGGCTTGTGAGATTAGGTGGCAACTGGTACGGGATTGTATCGTGAATGTTGTTGTTGCTCAAATCACTAACATGAGACAAAGGAAAAGCCATTTAACTAATTAGCTGATTAACAAAGAGATACATTCTCAATGGCACATGCAGATATCAGAGCAATGGAATTATCTTACAGTGTTCTCAAGGACATAAGATCCGAGAGCAAGTATCCCATGGTTCCAGAAAGTCCTAACCCAGAAATATCACTGTGATAACAATAACAAGACCCATTAACCAAACATAAACTGATCAAACTACAAAATTCCAAAAACAAATAGCTAAATTTGAAATATATACTCTCATACACAGAAACGACAGCGGAGCCTTCACAGGTAACCCCTTTCCATGACTCTCCACATGGATCACCACCATTAGTTTTCCAATTTGTTAACTTTGTAGGACTGTTCAATGAAGTGTACATAACCTGAAGCGCTTGAACTGCTCGCAAATAAGTAAAGGAAACAACATAATAAGACATCCCCAGGTTTCAAAATTAAAAAAAAAAAAAAACAAATTCAGATTAGATTGAATTAAACCTTCCATTTACATATGCACTGATAAAATGTCACCAAATATAACTAAAATCCAGAAATTGTAGATTTTTTCCTACTCGAAACTATAAAGTATTACATTTTCGCAAAAATAAATGACAATATTAGGAATCAAAGCAAATATACTTTTTCTCCAATTTTTCCCACATTTTTCTGGAGAAACAAACACAGCATAGAAGATCAAACTTTTCAAAAGAAAGATCGTCAAAGATTATTTCTTGACTAATAATCACATTCACATCTAAGCCAAACAAGTCAATAATTTTACACTTGTCAACCTCAATCATACAACCAAATCAATGAAGAAAATGCGTAAAACAATTAAAGAAGAAAATAAAAAATAAAAGGAAAAACAGAAATACCATCGGAAGAATCAGTGATGCATTGAGCTGGAGAGAAAGCAAAGATCAAACCAAGAAAGACTAACTCAGTGAGTAGCAAACGAATCATAGAAAGAGAAAAAGGTCTGTTATTGTAACCCATTGCTATCTTCTTTTCTTTTTTCTTTTTGTATTTTTTGGTTTTTCGTGTTGTAGTGGTTGTTGCAGTTGATTTTGGCAGTGCTAAGAGGTGAGGATCAGGTGAGGCGGAGCACGTGATATAGAACCATGGACACGCAAGAACAGCTGAAGAAGAAGTAGGAGGAGGAAGAGGAAGAGAATGAGAAGCAGCTGTAGTTGTTGGGAGGCTCAATGGTTGGAGACATCGCCATTAAAGAAAAGGAAAGAAGAGAGAGAGATTCGAAGCTTGAGAGTAGTAATGAAGAGAGAGTGTATTTTATTATATGCAAAGGTTGTTGTATTGTGGGTGTCGGCGAAAATTGGAAAAAGAGTTGAGCAGTAAAATCTTGAAGAAAATTCAATAGTCCTAGATTGATAAACAGAGAAAAGTTCGGTCGGAGTAGGCAAGCAAGGTATGACACTTTCTCACTTCTCAGGTTCCTTTCCCTGTCCCTTTCGAGTTTTGATCCTCTACTTTTGTTCCTGATGCCTTGCTCTTGGCCTTTAATTCACTTTAACTAAACTAAACACTTTTACCACGTTTCATTGTTGGAAATTGGAATTAGCTGAGCCCTATGTTTTTTTGTTTCCTTTCAAACGGATTGCTTTGCTTATTACAGTCATTATGGATGGGGGCAATCTCTTATACATATCATCAGTGTTTGAAATTTCTTTGTAAAGGAAGCATCGTTATTTTTATTTGAAATAATAGAGTATAGTTGGATAATGAGAAAATGAAATAAGCATGCCATAGCTTCATTGGCTGAACTCTTCTCCTTTTTTTTAATATAATATTTGAGTTCAAATTTCATCGATGATATCTTTTGATATTATTTTAAATATATACATAGAAGATAGCATCTGTTTTAGCAAATCAAATATGCACGTGTTACTTTGATTTAAAATTTGATTTAAAGGATTGAATAATTTATTTATTTTAAAAAAATTTTATCAAAAAAATAAATGAAATATGTTAGATTCATTTATACAAAATATGTAATGAGAAGATGATAAAGCTTTTTTAAACGGTAAGAATGAACCGACAAAATCGTTGTGTTGTATTGGTTTTTCTTTATCAACAATGAAATATTTACTAATAAAATAAATGTGAAACTTAGCACAAATGTCATATGTTCAACCTTTTTCCTTCTTTTCCATGAGCATGAGAAGAATTAACAATGATGGGGAAAAAAAAAAAGAAAGATCAATTAAAAAAGTTCACGCTCTCACTCACCAAACGCGAAGGAAAATTCGAAGTAACGTTAAAAAAAAAAAAGTTGTCATGATCAATCTTAAAGAGGGGAATCGTTATTGGTGTGATACGAATATGGACTAGTGACGTTCCACCTTTGGGGCAGGGAACCTGGAAGGGGAAGGCCAGGACAAGGAGAAGGACACCATAAAAGAGGATCTGACTTCGCCTGGCCAGCAGATTGCGACTTTGCGTTTTACAAGAATTTCAGAAAATGACTAAAATGTCCAGTTGTTAACTCAGAGCAAATAAAAATCTTTTCCCCTTTTTGACCATGGAAGCTTTTGAATCACTTTTTAGCGAGTGATGATAATGATGGAAAGGATACCCAGCTAATTGTTTTTGCTTTTCATAATAATTCTCAATTGAAAATTATCATTAACTGATGTGCAAAACAAAAAAAAAAAAAATGAAACAATCATTTACCTAACAAAAGTTCTGTAATTTTAAGAAAAAAGAAAGCAAAGAGATTATTTATAATACAATTAAATTAAACTAAATAAACCCATTAATGCCATTTAATTTTCCTTTACTGATAATGAAATACTAGGACTAAATAATATTTGTTAATGAGGTATTGGTTTAGTGATAAACAGGCATGTTCTAAAATTTTGATATTTTTATTTAAATTTTATTACTTATGAATTTAATTATTTAATTATATTTTAATTTATTAATAGATTAGACAATATTCAAAGAATTTAAGTTAATATTAATATAAAAATTTTTGTTTAAGAATATTTTAAGAGTATTTTTTTAAAATTATTGTATAAAGCAATATCTTCATTCAATGCATTAGAATCATGAATAATCAATTAATACATTTAATATAATATTTATTATAAATAGTATATTAATTAATTTTAAAGACTGTTCTAAAGACACTCATTAGCAAAATCTTTTTTGGATAAATGAATGTGAAAAAAAAAGAATGATTTCTATTTTTATGTATATATATATATATATATATATAGTAGAATGATTTTTATTTTTTTCATCCATGACAATTGAATTTACAACGGTCTTAAAAGAATCAAGATAACTTCAAAATTTATTCCCATTGGTTGCAAGAGAATTGAGAAGTGCAACATGTTGCCCGTGATCTGTCCTAGATTCCTTCGACCATATAAAATAAGGAACAAATCCCACTTAACAACCATTTCAATTTGTTCTTCTATTCACTCACAAAATCCACAAATAATCAATCGAGCGCCAAACAATTTGCTGATGAAAATTTTCCGCTTGGTATAAACTATAAAGGAAAGTTGATTACTAACAAATGATTAATTCAATTGATTAAGATTTATTTTTTTTGATCAAGAAATTTTGAGTTCGAGTTTTACAAAATATTATTTATTGAAATTATCTCAAATGTACAATTTATAATCATCTATCTCAAATTATTAGATACGACATATTTTATTTTAATTTAAATAATTAAATAATTTATTTATCATCGAATTTAAAGTTGATTATATTATTTGTTACCAAGAATTACATTGATGCTCCTCAATATTCTAACGACGTGATTTCAACATTTGTATTACTAAAAATTTCATCATATTTTTCTTTTCTATAACAATACTACATAATAAAGATAGGAGTTTTATTTCTTTACCAATTAATTAAAATTCAATCATTGTGGAATAGCATATCAAAAGTAAAATCTTAAATATATTAAATAATATTTTATAAGACCATTTTTTAAGAGCTTTCAAAAATTAAATTAAGTCCAAATAAAAATTTTAAAAAAGCCCATGATCATTTTACGAAAAATTATATAAAGAAGGGTGGATAAGAAGCAAGTGGCCACCATAATTCATATATGCATGGTTTATGTAAAAAGCATAAAAGAAGACAAAATCCAAGCCAAAATCAAGGAGAAAAATAAAATTAAGGAGGGAGTAGATTGGTTCGTAACTATATGGCAGGAGTAATAGGCTGGCAGGCAGGAAAGAGGGACCCCATCTCAATGTAATTAATGGTCTCACGTCTCAACGAGTTGTTCATTTCTGTTTGCAATTGGCAACCGACTTTGATGAATCGGTCCCATGAGATTTACTACGTGGTTTTTGTTTTGATCAATGTACTACATTAGGAACGTCCAACTCAATTCTTTTTCATTGAATTTCATTTTTTCTTTATATAGTTTAAATATAGTATATATTATCTTAAAGAAATTGAATTAATTTTGTTGGATGTGACTCATTTGTTGAACGATATTTTTCATACTGTTTTTCTTTTATTTATTATTGGATAAACTATTGTTTTTGATTCAACATATTGTTAGACCTAAAATAACAAATATAACAATGTAAAAGTAATATGTCACAATAAATCTACAGTAATAAACAACAATCAACAATATAAGAAAAATAAAGCGCATTAAAATTTACATGAAAAATCTTTCAGTGTAAAGAAAAAAAACTATGGATCACTTGAAAAATCTCTATTATCAAATAATAAATATACAAATTTTTTTTCTAGTTAAAACTAAAGCTAATAAATAACTAGAGAAATAATTAGAGAAATATCACAAAATAAGTGACACAACAAATATATTTTGAATTTATTTTTAGAGAACTTCAAACCCAATATCCACTGTTCAGAATGTAAAAATCTGAATCATAAACTTGTTGAAAAAATCTCAACTTAATCGGATCACAGAGCGACTCTCATTTAACTAACTTTCCTTTCTTCATTTTCTCTCTATTTTTTCTAGCTTCTTTTCTTTCTATTTGACACCACTTTGTTTCACCAAAACTGCAACCCTCACTTTTTACTTGTAGGGCTTTATTTCATTGTCAAAAGCAAGAGGTTTTGGGCTTTTTAATTGGTGGATATAATGGAGCCAGACCCCACATTCCTAACAATCTCTCCCTTCCAACCCTATTAGGAGGAGATTCATTGTCATAGCAGTTTTATTTAGAACTTACTTAGGTTAAGGAATACATTCTGGCTAAGTTACTACATAGCTCAAATTTCTTCTTGAAAAGTGTTTTAGTCAACATATCTGATGTATTTTCATTAGTATAGACATTTTTCAATAAAATTTACTGCTAATCAATCACTAAATATAACTAGTGATATTTAACATCAATGTGCTTTGTTTTAGCATGGTACATGGTATTTTTACTTAAATCTAAAGTACTCTGACTACACAAAATATCACATACTCATTTTGATTCAACTATTTCAAGAAAAAAATGTTTCATTCAAAACATTTCGTTACCTGCTTCAGTTACTATCTTATATTCAACTTCTATAGTTGATAAGATTACACATTTCTGTAACTTAAACTATTAAAACACAGCTCTTCTTGTAAAAGTGAACAAATATTTTGAAATAAATTTTCTACAATCAATATCACATGCCATGTCAGCATCAGTAAACCCTTCTAAAACTGATTGTGAAACTTCATAACTTAAGCACATTTTTTAAATGTCCTTCAAATATCTGAAAATTTATTTCATTGCTTCTTAGTGAACCTTTCTTGGATTAGAAAGAAATCTATTCACTACACTAACTACATGAGCAATATCAGGCCATATGCAAACCATAAAATACATCAAAGAACTAACTACAAAAGAACAAGAAATATTAAACATAGCTAGTTGTTCTTCTTTAGTCATCGGACAAGATTTTTTACTTAAATAAAAATGGTTAACAAATGGATTGCTAACTGATTTAGCATGTTATATGTTGAATCTACTAAGTGTCCATTCAACATATTTTTTTTGTGATAACCACAACTTTTTAGCTCTCCTATCTTGGATAATATTTATATCAAGAATTTATTTTGTTGGACTTAAATCTTTTATGTTAAAGGACTTAGACAATTGTTCTTTCATTCTACGAACCATACTAACATCTTATCCCACAATCAACATATCATCAACATATAATAAGAAAATGATAAAGTTACCATTAGAGAATTTTTTGATATACATACAATAATCTGCTGTCATTATTTTATAGTTGTGGCTCACTATAAAAAAATTAAACTTTTTATACCATTATTGTGGAGTTTATTTCAAGTTATACAAGCTTTTTTTTTTTTCAGTTTGTAAACTAAGTGCTCTTTCCTTTTTTTTTTCAAAACCCTCAGGCTGATCGATATAAAGAACTTCTTATAAGTTACCATGCAAGAATGCAGTCTTGACATTAAGTTACTCAAGCTCAAGATTCAAACTAGCTGTTAATTTCAACACTACTCGAATGGAATTTATCTTTACAATTGGAGAAAAGATCTTATCAAAATCGATGTTGGGTTTCTGAAAAAAATCTTTCACTACTAATCAAGCTTTGTACCTCACTAGTTTGTCACCATCTTTTTAAACTTGAACATCCATTTATTTTTCAATGGCCTACTCCTATTCAAAAGTTTAACAAGATCATACGTATCATTTTTTAGTAATGACTCTATCTCTTCTTTCATTAGTTTTAACTAATACTCTCTATCTAGAGTAGTCTGCACATCTTAAAAGTTTTCTAGCTCCCCTTTACTGGTAACTAAAATAAAATCTAAACTTAGATATCCGATGGATAGACTATGCTCTCTAGTAGATCTCATAGACTGAGATTCTACACTATTTGATTTTGAAGGTAATTTTTCTTGTTTAATGTTTTCTTATGAAAAAGATTGCTTACCTTACTTAACACTCTTAGGTAGAGCAAATTGCTCTTCCTATTCAAAATTAATTACATCTAGCTCATCATTAATTATGACTGGCTTATTCATATCTCAAGTTCTGTCTCTCGATCATTTTCACTATCTGTGATTCTTTTCGATGAAACTCCTATTAGTGTTGAAACATCATACTTAATAGCAACTTGTGTAGTCTTCTCATTTTTCTCAAAATCTGTTATGATTTTTTTCATAAAAAGATCATATATTTGTTTGTTAATTGGATCCCATATCCTGTAGCAAAATTTTTCATCACCATATCCTATAAATACACATTGTGTAACTTTTTTGTCAAGTTTTGACCTTTGTTTTTTAGCACATGCATGAATGTTTTATGCCCGAAAAACTTTCAAGTAAGAGTATGAAACGTCTTTCTTTATCTACACTCTTTCTGAAATATCAAAACTCAAAAAAACTGATGGTGATCTGTTAAGCAAATAACAAGCTGTGTTAACTGCTTCACCCAAGAATAGCTTTGGTAATTTGTCATCCTTAATATATATAACTTTTTTCACAATAGTGTGGTTCATTATTTCAGCTATACTATTATGCTATGGTATTTTAAGTTCTATCATCTTATGCCTGATCATATGCTTTGAATAGTATTCTTTAAAAGTTTTTGGATGTGTATTCTCTACCATTATCAGTCCGAATACACTTCAAGGGTAACCCTGTTATTCTTTCGTCATGGCATAAAATTTTTAAAAATATTATAGTACCTGACTTTTATTTTTCAATATATACACCCAAATCTTATGTGAAGTATCATCAATAAAAGTAATAAAAGTAATAAAAATACATACTATCACCCAATTACTTAACCTCAATAGGATCATATACATCAAAATGAATCAATTCCAATTTATTTATTTTTTTAAAACTCTTACAAAAAAAACTCTACAATACTTGTCAAATAAACAATGATCACATGAATCGAAAGACATACATTTACTCAAGGTAGTGAGAAAACTACCTTGCTAAAATTGTAACCCTTTTTTGCTCATGTATGCTAGCCTCTTATGCCACAGATTTGCTGCAGCATCATCCTCAACTACATTTATCTAGTTTTCATTCAATTGCATTCATGTCTTGTATATTATGCAAACTATTTTTCTTTTACAACTACCATAAATCCTTTGAGAAGTTGTCACTGACCATTCTTTTGTTGACTTTTATATCTTTCTTTATTAAGAACATTAATAGCAAGTAAATTCATTATCATATCTAGAATATGTTTAACATTCCTCAAAATCAACATGTAGCATGTATTTATTTATACAATAATATTATCAATCCCAATAATCAGCAACACACTCTTGTTTCTCATCATGTTGTAACCAAATTCTTTTGCTTTATAAGTTGTAAATAACTCCCTCTTAGGAACACAATGATATGCTACTTCTATGTCAACTATCCACTCAATGCTAAAATCACCAACATAATTACAATTATCATGTGTACAAATCAAAGTAACTAAATCATTATTTTAATTCACTGCTACAACATTATCATCTTTTAAACTTTTACCTTTCTCATTTTTTGGCTCTCGTTTCAAGATTTTGTAGTATCATTTTATATGACCTGCTTTATCACAATAGAAGCACTTCACTTTATCTCTAAACTTGGATCTATGTTTAGAATTACTACGACCTTTTGAGTTTTGATCTTTATCGATATTTCTACCCCTGTTTCTGTGATAAGAGCTTGATTCCCAAGGCTTAAATTTTTATGCCTTGCTTTTTCATTAAGCATATTGTCCTTTATTATCTTCAAGTCACATTGTGATCAGGAACTAAATTAAAAACATTCATAACTAAAATATTATAACTGTTTGGTAATAAACCTAAAAAGAAACAACGCCTTCATTTCATCATTCATCTTAAGCTCTATAGTACTCATTCAATTAAATATATATTGAAAATCACTCAATTACTTTGTAATCGATCGTCCAAACCTGCACTATAAAATTGTAAGCTTTTTAACGAGCATAACTGTATTCACGCTTATTTTTTTCTCATACAATGCTATCAATTTTTTTCAAATAGTATGGACATCTATCTTCTGCGCTGTATGATAAAATATGCTAATATCAACCTATTTTTTTATTGTAGCCAGTATCTTTCTAACTAATTTTTTTTAACTTTCATTTTTCATATATGTTGATTTAGCTAAATCGCCTAATACTGGCTCATACAAATATTTACAGTATAAATGATCTTCTATCATAAACTTTCAAATTGAATAATTTGATACTGTTAATTTTATCATGAAACTTGTATCATCTTTCATGATCTCAAACAGAATTTACTTCTCTCTTGTGTTACTTCTATATCGATGTCTCAAAATAACCATCGCTCTGATATCACTTGTTAAGCTTAAAGCAACAAACACAATAACATAGAAATAATATATCATAATAAACCTACATCAATAGACAATAATCAGCAATTAACAATATAGAAAAAATAAACCACACCAAGATTTAAGTGAAAAACCCTCTAGTGTAGAGAAAAAAAATTACGGATCACCAGAAAAATTTTAACTATCAAATAATAGATATACAAAAATTTTTTTTTAGCTAAACTAATGCTAATTAATAACTAAAGAGATAATTAGATAAATTTTACTAAATAGATGACTAAATAAATATACTATAGATTTGTTTTTAGAGAACTTCAAACCCGTTCTTGACCTTTAAGAATGAAAAATTTCGAATCATAAACTTACTGGTAAATTTTAACTTAATCAAACTGCAAATTAACTTATGTTTAACCAATTCTCATTTCTCTCATTTCTCTCTATTTTTTTAACTTCTTTTCTTTCTATTAGGTGCCACGTTGTTTTACCAAAAATGCAACCCTCACTTTTTATTTGTAGGGTTTTATTTCATGATCAAAAGCAAAACGCTTTAGGCCTTTTAATTGGTGGATATAATGGGGTTGGACCCCACACTCCTAACACATATAACAATCATCAAATTGCTTAATGTTTAATTATTGCTTGATTTAGCAATTCGGAGAACGTTTTTTAGTATTGTAATGCAATTTTAGATGATAACAAGAATGACAAGCAACACATGCATATGAAGCTTAACTTAGTTAGACCAAATTACTTAAAAAAGAAAATAGAATTCTTGCACTCTAATTTCTGCAGAAGACAGGAAAAGAACAAAAAATAAAACATAATAAAACTTACTTTCCAATTTATTCCATTTTTATTAAAAAAAAAAAAAGAAGACTTATATGATTGAATTTACTAGTACAAAGACAGAGGATAAAATGGGTATTACAATTTAGCCATTTGCAATTTGTTTTGGTAAATAATTTCATGCATGGGGAATCCAACCAATTGTCAAATATATATGATCCACTTTGTTTTTGTCATTTTCTTGAATTAAAAGTAAGATGTTAAATAGTAGAGCACATGAGGGCCATATTATTACGAGGTACGCAAAAGCTGGCTATTGAAATATAGAATATAGATTCTAGTGCATGATTTGACCCTAAACCACTAAATTAACTACCCCGAGTTAGTTGTTAATTAAGTATTTATTATAATTTTAGGTCAACAAAATTTAAATTTTATGGTATTAAAAGACGTTGGAGGTGACAAATTGAAATCTAGTCAATCCTATTCATTTCAACATTTGGATATGAATTGTGGACCATATGGTCATACAAAACTTTATTAGAACAGCTGGCTTGTAAAGAAAAGTTCTTAACCGTTAGGTTTAACGACTCTAAACCTTACCGAACGTCAACGGTAAAAAACAAAAAGAATGAGGGAAAGACCTATAAAACTTTTTATTTTTTTTATTTTTATAAATTATAATAAAGGAGTTTTTTTTTATGTTCGACATTTGAAAAAAAAAACAAAGAGGAAAAGGATTTAAAGGCTCATTTGAAACGGCATGCCCCAAAACTGATTGGAATCGAGTCTAACGATAAGACATGCATGGATGTTGATTGTTTAAGGCTAAGCCCCCCAACCGCAGTCTCCGATAGAGGACCCAGCCCATTAATGAGACAGGTCCATATCTACCCTCGACAACCGAGCAAATCCAGATGCCATGTGATGTGATCCAAACTTGCTAATAATCTTATTTCAACAAAATAATTTATTCCTAATTGACCGAGTAACTGTGCAAAGCATAGAGTTCTGGAATTAAAGTAGTTTTTGCTTCTTTTAGACAAGATGTCATTAGTTTGAGCACATGAAACAATTAATTGAACATCCTCGATCAAATTAAATCATGTGAAATTGGTCTCTTTCAGTTCACTCTGTTTTCCAGGTGGACATGAATAAATGTTTCAAGTTTAATAAAAGAGGAGACATGTACGCCACATCTGGAAAGTGAGTGTCGGTGGCGGGCTAGCATCATCCTTGTTTCCTTATTTGTTACTACTTTAAACGCCGTCGTTTCTGTATTTGTTTTTGGTTGAATATCATTAATGGAGAGTGAACGATGCCGTTTCTAAGATTTGAAAAGCGAAAACGCCGTGAGGTGAAAAATTTACGTTAGGATATACGGCGGCCTCCACTTTCTCTCTGTTTCCGGCCGAAAAGACTATCGGTTCGAGGAAAACGATGTTTGGACAGACAAAGCGGAAAGTAAACGTTTAAACTTGGTCGTTGTCGGGATATTAATTATATATAATAGAAATGAACAAGAAAGCCTTGGCCATTTTGATGCGAGCCAGAATGAGACCTAACGATCTAAGCAAGCTCGCCCTTTCTCCTCTCTCTGTAAGTTTTTTTTTTTTTTTTTTTCAAATTATAACAACGTGAGTCCAAAATATGACTTTTCTTGTTTGACATGTTCTTGTTTGGTTGAATTGTTTGATTAATCATTTAATAAATTTGTGATTAGCGAAACTTGTTATGAATACTGAACGAGAATTTGCTGATTTTCTTTGTCTTAATTTCAAAACAGAATGAGGTTAATCAAATGCTATCAAATTCTCAAGGAAACCAATCCGGTACAAACGTGGCACGCCTTGCTACTGAGGACGGAAACGAAAATCTCAATAAACAAAGGTCTTTTATTTATTATGAAGGCATGATTCGACACAATCTTAAATGCAATTCTTTAAGTTTAAATTTGGATTTCTTTTTGCTTTTTAACTAGGTCGTTCCAGGCTGTACGAGAATCAATGCACTCAGCTATATCGATGAACAAAACTGAAGTTCTAGACTCTGTACTTAATGAATTTTCGGAGGTAAAGTATGGGTAGCTAGCAATTAGTTATTATCTTGAGTTCTCATGTTTATGTTGATGCTTGATAATGTTGTGAATTTTGATATAATACAGGGTTATTTTAGCCTTTCTTTTGAGAACCGCAGCAAATTACTGCTGACACTTGCCAAAGAGTATGATCTCAACCGGACTCAAGTTCGTGAACTCATAAAGCAATATCTTGGCCTTCAATTACCCAGTGGTGAGTTTATTGTTGGTATTTCACCTAAATATTTTTTGAATTCTTGTTTTTGTGTTTAGCTGGGTTGAATACTGTGGAGGTTTCTTGTTTCAGGAAATGCTGCTCAATCAGGAGGAGTTGAAGATGAAGGCTTTCTTTCAACATTCTATCGCATAGAGAGAAATTTGAGACACTCCCTTAAGCCAGTGTATGAAATTCTCTTTGAGCGGCTCAACACACACCCTGGAGGGCTGAAGTTTTTGACCATTCTTCGGGCTGATATTTTTTCTATTCTTGCGTAAGGCTATAGTCCTTTTTACAAGATTCAACCTTATTTATCATGATTTGATTGTCATATTATTACTTTTATTTTATCCCAGAGGTGTAGACCTTTTACTAATAGTTGAGAACATGTTAGTTGAAAAGTATGTTAGAGAATATCCTAAACTCATGAGGTTTTTCACTTTTAATTTCTTATACAACGTCATCAAAAAAGATCACATACTACAGTTTTATGCAACTTCCTAAGGGCATGGGTATCTTGTATCATAGTCTATCGTTTGGGATTGATCTTGTTGTAGAGTTTAGGTATTAGCTCTTATGGGATGGAGTCTCACTGTGCTTGCAGTAAAAGAAAGCATAAATATATATAGTTTTCTTTCTTTTACTTTTTTGTTATATCTTTGGCTTTGATGGGAGGTTTAGGTGATGCTATAACTACATCATTACCCTTATTGAATTGCAGCAGTTGCTATCTTGAATAATTTACATCTTTCTATTTACAGAATCCTTTATGATGAACAGGAAATGGTTTTATAGCATTGGCATCCTTAAGGGTTGAAAAAATACAAGAGCTAAATTGTTAAAAAAATGTTCTTTAGATGGTTTATGCTTATTATTGTTAGCTTGTTGCAGATTTAAAACTTAGTTACATATTTATTTATTGAAGAATTGAAATGTGATTACTACAAATGTATAAATGGAATTGAAATTTTATAAATTTCAGAGAAGAAAATATTGCCTCATTGCGAGCATTAGATTCCTATCTGAAAGAGAAACTTAGTACTTGGCTTAGTCCTGCTGCTTTAGAGCTCCATCAGATTACATGGGATGATCCTGCTTCTTTGCTGGAGAAAATTGTGGCTTATGAGGTTTGTTTCTCTTCTTCCTCTTGGTTGCTAATATTATAGATTTAGCATCGTGCCGCCTATGTATTATCTAGCAATCATATTTTCTTCAGGCAGTGCATCCAATAAGTAATCTTATTGATCTTAAGAGAAGGCTGGGAGTTGGTCGTCGTTGTTTCGGATATTTTCATTCAGCCATACCTAGTAAGCAGTTCCTTTTACTGTTTAGGGTGGAAGGAGGGTGGGGGGTGTTATATATTGACTTGCTGGCAATCCTACCTCGCACCTTCTGTTTCTTTCTCTCTTCTGTATTTCAGGTGAACCGCTTATTTTTATTGAAGTTGCACTTTTGAAGAATATAGCACAAACAATACAGGTAAATTTTCATAACTGTACCATGCTCCTTTCTTTGTCTTCTTGTTCTTAATATCCTTGTGAATGTTAGGAAGTTTTGTGGGATAATCCTCCAATTCCTGAAAATGAGGCAACATGTGCATTATTTTACTCCATATCGTCAACTCAGGTATGAAAGTCTTTCCCCCTCTCATTTTATTTGGAAAAGATATTAACTATATGAAAAATAAAGAAAAATATCATGGCTGCTTGTTATGTGGTTTATGCAAATATTAGTGTCATTACTTGTGCTAATGGACTATTTCTACCAAATTTCCTTATTCTGTTTCCATGAACCTGACTGCCTACTTCTGACTTTTCCCAGCCTGGCTTGGCAGGAATCAACCTGGGAAAGTTTCTTATTAAACGTGTCATTACATTGGTTAAAAGAGATATGCCAGACATTTCTGTAAGTACTCCTTTTCCTTGATCAGATTACTTAATCAAATGAGCAGCAAGATTATTTTTTGCATGTTCAGTGGGAATTTCCTTACTGATTTCCAATAAGTTTCATTTTTGCTGCTTTATGATTGATGGTAATTGCTCTGTCTATCGGGGTAGTGGTGGCATTAATCATTTTTAATTTTTGAAAATTGAGGTTATGCTGAACTCTCTGCATTATGAATTAGTATTTTGCCCTTGTTCATTCTTGTGCAGTGGGACCAACACAATAAGTATTTCAATAATATACTTGACATTGTACATGACATTCCCACGACCACTCTTCTTACATATTCCATGAGATCAGTGCACCATATTTGTGGCTGCAACTCAAAATTCATGTATTTTATATTTTCTTATGGTCACATATGACTCTATATCTAGCTGAAGTTTTGCTTGAGACAATGCATACTGACACTTTTTTCCTCTTACTGTAAAGGTGTTTGCTACACTTAGCCCTATCCCAGGATTCATGCAGTGGCTTCTATCCAAGTTGGCATCCCAATCAAAACTTGCCGAAGTAGAAGACATATCATGTTCATCAGCTGATAGATCTGGGTTAACTTTCTATGAGAATGTACTTGAACCAGAAGAAGAAAGAGCACTTATGGATTCATCCGGGTAAGCTTCATATAATTTTTTTGTGTCCTAAATTGGACTTTTGGATTTTCTGAAGATGAATGGTTTCCAGATAATTTTTCATGCCATCTGGAATATGGTTTTTGTTGGAAATTGAGTCATCTGCTGTTGCCAAAACATGGCCTTGTCTTGCATATAATTTTTCCTATTTGTGACTGTTGTGGTTCTTAAAGCTAATATAGTGACAATGATGCATTTCGAGTTATGAAAATGATATGAGCTGTTGATTGATTGCTTTCCAGAAAAGTCATTATAGTTCAAGACTCAGATTATTTGTTCAAGCTGTTCTACTTAAATAGAGGGAAGATCAACTTTTAGAACCGATATGGAGGATTTTGCTCACATGTTTGTTTGATGTATCATTATTCCATATTCCCTAACCCTTATCGATTCAAAGCATGTCATTGCCAAAACACTTCTGGCCGACATTTTTGTTTCTTTTCCAAGGTTGGTTCAATGTTGCATACTTATTGCTTGTCCAAGAAGTTTTCAACTGACCTATATGGATTGATACTTTCTTGATCATATTTTATTTTATTTAGGCATTCTCATTTTTCAATCTCATGCTCCTGAGATCTGATTTATGGAGTCTGCTTGTTGTCATTACCTGTTACAGGGATCTTGCTGCTGGAAAAAGTGGCATGGAAATAATGTTGAACTTGCTGAAACCAACAAGCCATGAGTGGACTAATTCAGCTAAATTGCTTTCGGCATTAAAACCACCTCTAATGCGGCTATGTGCTAGGTAGATTTCTCCATTGAAATTTCTGTCTATTATTATTAACCAAGTAGCAACATCTTTACTTTTTTTAATTTTTTTGCTACAAGGAACAGAAGCACAAAAACTTATTGAATTGTAAGAGTCAGATTATTGGTTCTGTAGTTAATGTATGGAGCTTGTGTTTCTTTGGGTAAAATTAATTGATGCCAAATTTTCAAATTTAGGTACCTTCTGCAAGAGAAAAAGAGAGGGAAAGCTCTAGATTCTGTTGCAAACTTCCATTTGCAGAATGGAGCGGTATGTAATGCAATTGCGATCATAGATCATTTCAGCCCTTTTGGCATAACATATCGATTAGTTTCTGGATCGTTCTCTATATTTGTTAAATAAATCTAGGAGGTTTCTTTCATGAAGGTTATCTCTTTAGGTGCAAAGATTGATTAAAGGAGTAGTATGTTATTTTTATAATTTAACAAACTGCAGAAACAATCTTGACTGCAAAATATTATCTGCATTAATGGATCAGAAAAAAAAGGAACCAAGAAGCATATTCTTGAAGATGCAAATTCCTTTCTCTCTTTCTCTCTTGTGCTTAAGTACTGATTTCCACTCTCATCTAATCACTTTTTAAGTATGGAACAGATGGTTCAAAGAATAAACTGGATGGCTGACCGATCAGAAATAGGTCTACATCAAAGTGCAGGTATCATGGTGAACTACGTCTACAGGTACTGTCACAACTAACAACCAGCCTTTATATATTAGTCTTTTTTTAAAAAGGAAATTTCACTTCATGGGTGAAGGAATTTAAAAATTCTCTCATGGAACTGAATTAATTAGGCTCAATTTGATTGCTCCCTGCTTGGAAGTCTGGAAATGTAAATTATTATTTAGACCATCTGTAAATCCGTTGCTATATTCTCCAACTTTACCCAGAAATATTTCCAAATTGGATTGATAACGAACTTTCATAGAGTCATAACGAAATCTAGTTTCTAACTTTATTATAAATTCTCTCCCTAATTAGCATAATTACATTAAATGATGATCTGCAGGCCAGAGAATATTGAAGAATATGCTCAGTCGTATTTCAGCACAGGACATATCCATTCTTCCTATGATGTGCAACGATACATTCAGGTATTTAAGTAGTGCATTCAAGAATATGAACTTTTGCTATTTATGAATAATCATTGATTTGTTAAAGATTTCTTATCTACATGCTCCCACATTATACCCCTGCATCTTCCATTGACCTTTCTTGTTTGGCTTGGGCCTAAAAGCCCAAATATGCATAGTCGTTTGGATTCAGTTTGATGTGTTTGCCTGCATCTCCCTTATTTAACATTCTTGAATTTGCTGTTGATATGGTTTCAGCCATTGACGGAAATTGAATCAAGCACAGATTAGGATGAGTGAAGGCAGAGAATGAAACTATGTTTTTAGTGCTTATTAACTTGCTTTATTCTTGCTGTTGCTACCTGTGTTTTAGTCTTAGGATTGCAATTTCCTCTTCCCTAGAAAATGAGATATAAACGCACGCACCTTTATTGGCTGTAAATGCTCCAATGTTCATATATGGCAAATAGCTTCCATTAATGATTTGAAACCGTTGGGAATAAGATTTCGTTTGAAAGAAAGCCAGTGACCGCCTGTCACTACATCTGCTTGTGAAATCTGTTGTTTGTGAAGTAATTAACGTTCCAAATATTTAGAGTAGTGTCATTTTTGGATTCCTCCCTCCTCCATAACAATGCTATTGACTGAAACATGTCGTCACAAAGTTGATAAATTTGGCCTTAAAAAATATCACTGGGTATAAAGGTTCTAAACCTTTCAATAATGCTTCTATATTTTACTTTTTTTAATGTTTTCTATATCTTCTATATATTCCAGTACAACGAGGATACACCAGTACTGGGTACACCACAATAATTTCGTTCTGTATATGATCTATCTGATTATTACTAATCGGAACCATCCAAAAAGGCATCGGTGAGCTGGGGTTGAGAGTGGGATCACTTGCCGGTTTCTTTTTCGGTTGCACGACTAGTTTCTAAAACATATTCCCTCATGAGTTTTGTGTTGGATTCCTCCACCATCTGCACACCAGAAATAAAGACCATAAGAAAACGATGAACCATATAACCACCGGGAAAATCCATATAAACTCGTGAGGATTAACCAAGAAAAAATGGTTTCCGACCTTGAATGCTAAGCGCTTCAAATTGTCCCACTCGAAATCATGTTTGCAGTATGCAGCTCGAACCTGTAATATATAACAAGATTAAGCCTATAAGCTTCTAGCAGAAAAAGTAGAACAAAAAGAAAATTTGCAGAAAACATCTCATGTACTAACCTCTAAGATGCGTAGGGCTGTCAAGGAGATGTGGTGCCATTTGCCAAAAGGAAATTCCAATGAAAGTCATCACAAATTGAATCCATTAATAAAAAATCATAGGCAGGTACCAAACTTCGGACTCATTAGCTAACAGTCAAAATTCTAAAAATATATGAAATATGGAAGATTTCTGACATGTAAGACGGCAGCATGCAGTCTCCTTGGCAAGTGATTTTTCATTTTTTTCCAGGTTGAAAAAGGGATTGACCATCAATTAACAATTTAACGTGCATACCCAGACTTTTATGCCTTGAAGATTCCCTCATCAGGCTGGCACAGAACTTGTCCCCATCATTCAACGAGTGGGTATTCAGAAATTCCATCAACTCCTTATAAGCTTCAGGGTTATAGCTCTGCTCTGGGAAATTAACGGGTTACAAGGTGAAATCTTATAAATGAATATGCATGATTAACGTTAAATAACCCATATTAATCCTATACTAACTATACCGATCAATTGGATGAACCATGATTAATATGGAGAAATATGATACCGAAGAGTTTAACAGTATAGGGAGAAAGAACCTGAAGCTGTGCACTGACTATCTTAACTGCTATGTAATTGAAGAAATTGTGGAGGTTTTTGGATGATTTGGCCTCTGGTGATGCCTCTCCAAATCCTGCGAGAAAGCTCTCATCATCATTGAGTTAATGTGACGCAAAGGAAAAACTCAACCTTAGGCAGGCATGGACAATAAAGAGGACGGATTAAGGAAGGAATACGCACCTGGGACATACATTTTTTGGCAGTTTAAGCGGGTGGCATGGGAGCTTCTTTGCTTACATGGCCAAGAAGGAAAACCTGTGTTCCAATTAATTGGTTTTGAAGGGAAAAATGAGGGCTGAGTGAGTGGAACGACAGCAAGACTCTCCATTGATGATGGATGGATTGAACTCCGAAGAATGATTTTGGATAAGCACTTTATTTTTAGCGGTAGAACTTAAAATGAAACTTCAAAGCCTAAAGGCTCTGTTCTGAACTGAAATATCTTCTGTTCACACGTGGAAAGTACAGTTCAATGTCGACCAATGTGGACCCCATCTAGACGTGGAAAGACGAATTTTTTTTTAAACAAGGCAAAATCTTAGATTTCGAAAAAAGAAAAAATACGTGATTATAGAATTTTATTGATTTAAGAAATATAACATCTATATGTAATAATATTAAGCAAATATATTTTAAATTTTATATGTAATAATATTAAATAAAAATATTTTATATTTATTTTTATATTTTTAATAAAAATTATGTTTTGTATTTAAAAAATTATTTTTTAACAAAAATTATATTTTTATCTTAAAAATATTGTTTTTATTAAATTATGAAATTTTTTTTTACATTTTCAATAAATACTGTATTTTTTTCATAAAAACATTGTTTTCTCAATAAAAATTAGATTTTAAAAAATATATATTTTTCATGTTATGTACAAAAACTATTTTCTATCTTAAAAACGTTATTTTAGTTGAATTTTAAAAACTATTTAGTTTTTGTATTTTTAACAAAAATACATTTTTATCTTTAAAATATAATTTTTTCACTAAAGATTACATTTTCTATCTTAAAATATCGTTTTTATTAAATTTTGAAAATATTTTTTTCATGTTTACAATAAAAACTATGTTTTGTTCTTATTTTTTCAATAAAGACAAAGGTTTTTTATCTTAAAAATATTATTTTTGTTAAATTTTAAAAATAATTTTTTATATTTTTAACAAAACCCACGTTTCTTATTTTAAAAATATCATTTTTATTAAATTATGAAAAATAATATTTTTTATTTTTTTAATAAAAATTGTATTCTTAATCATAATTTTTATGAAGATTTCATAGCACTGTATTAAAAACATGATTTTTGTTTAAAATATATTAAAAATTATGAAAATGCTTTTTGTTTTTATTTTATTTTTTTTTAAAACTTAGTTTTTATTTTTTATTTTTTGTTTTCTAAAAAATATATTTGGTAAACAAAAAAAATAGTTTCTAAAACTATAAAAGTAAGTAAATAAATAAAATATTTAATGATATTATTATTAATGACGTCTAATTATAAATATAATATATATTTATTAATTAATGATATTAAAAAGCGTTTTAATATGGTAACTTGTAAAATATAATAAAAAAGTAATGTACATCTCTTATTTTTTAATTAAAAACATATTTTTTTATTTTCACATTTCAATTTATTTTCATTTTTATTTTTAATTATCAAACATATTTTCACTAATATTTTTTATTTTCTAAAAAAATAAAAACAAAAAATAAAATATGTTTTCTAAAACTAAACAATTCCTAAAATTCTAAAAGGGAAAATTTCCCTAATCAATGTTCTATTAACGGGTATTCGGTTTGCAAAATCTTGGATTCTAGAAGAGAATGTGATATCCAGAAAATGTGATACTTGAGATTTTTTTTAATTTTTAGGGTATCTCGTATTCAAATTTACTCGCTTAGTTAAGGAGAATTTATATATTTTAATTTTTGAATAATTATCATAATCTCTTTAACGTACATATCAATTTTAAAACTTGGTATGATCTCAATTACAGCTAAGGATGTACATGAGATATATTTGCCTGTGAGCTATTTGGGGCTCAATTAAAAAAAAATTCAAATTCGATTTGATTGTTGTTAAGCTTAACTCAAGCTCAAGCAGCTTAAGTTATTGAACGAGTTGAATTTGAATATTTTAATATTTGAATCAAGTGGCTCATGAGCCTAATCAAGCTTTCTATCTTTAACATATATTGTTAATATTTTATTACTAATTTACATTTTTACCTTTAAAGATATATAAATACTTAAAGACCCTAAATTCATAATTTTTTAACCTAACACTTATAAAACATTTGCTTTCTCCCTTTCCCTGTCCTAGTAGTGCCCTCTATATCACTCTCTCGATCCTATCCCAACACCAACAATAGAAGATAATGAGTGGTCTGTGGAAGGATCTATTCGAAAAGATCTCTTATAAGATTTTTTGAAAATTGGATTAGTGCAACTCTACTCCTTGCCCCTCTTGTTGGAATCTACATGTAATCCTTCCATTTTTTTTTTTAATACCTATCCTTATAAACCAGCATAATTATTTTCCTCAATTTCTTTTTTTTTTTTACTTAGGTTTTCCTTTATTTCTCTCAATTTCACTTAGGGTTTCATTTCATCACATCACTATTTTTTTTCAATTCTTATTATATCTAATCTATTTGTCATAGCTTCTTTTATCACTTTTATATTTTTGGATAATGGTTTATTTGGATATAATTTGAATGGAAGTTGATTGCATTATGGGTTATGCTTTCGGTTGCTTTGAACTTTGTCATTTTATCTTTCATTTACAAATTCAATTTGGATTGTTTGTTGTACTAGGTTATTTATTTATTTTTACGGTATTATTTTGAAATACATCAAATTTAATTAATACAAATATTTGTATTGAAAAATCTCAATTTGAGCTTGAACTTGAGTGCCAATAATTGAGCTTAAAATCGAGTATAGAATCAAACTTATTTTTTATTGGTAAATGAGCCTAATCAAGCTAGCTCGAGTAATTTAGTTTTGATTACAAATCGAGCTCAAGCTAAGAAAATAAAACTTTTATCGAGTTTAAGCCAAATATCAAGTTGCAAGTTGAGAGTTGAGCTCGAGTTTGAGTTTTTCATTGTATCATCTCGACTCGGCTCGATTACACTTTTAGTTGTAGCCACTTTTGTTTGTCCAAAATTTTTTGGTGTGAAACATTTGGAACTTAGAAGGGAATACTTTTTTAAGGCATTTTTCAACAAAAATACCTTAAAAAACAACAAAAACGCCTTAAAAAAACTTTTTTTTTTTTGTATTTATTTGGTTTTTAGTTGGAAAACTCTTTTAAGGTGTTTTTGTTGAAAAAGCTTTTTTTTCATTCATTTAGAACTTGTAAGGGAATTTTTTTAAGGCATTTTTCAACAAAAACGTCTTAAATAATCTTGTTTTATTTTTTTAAGAGGATTATTTAAGGTATTTCTTATTGAAAGATATTTTAAATAATCCTATTATATTTTTTAAAAAGAAATTATTTAATCTTGGTTAATTATTTAAGGTGTTTCTGACAAAAAATAACTTAAATAATCTTGTTTATTTTTTTAAGATCATCTAAGGCATTTCTTCAATCCAAACGTCTTAAATGATGATCATTTAAAAAAAAATGCCTTAAATGATCATCATTTAAGGTGTTTTTTCAATCCACTATTTATTTGTATAATAGTTTATTTAAGGTATTTTTCATACCAAATGCTATTAATTATAATATAAAAAAAATTTAGCAGCAAAAACTTATAACTGACTTATAATTACTTTTAAATATGTTTTTTAAAATGATAACGATTATTTTATACATTATTTATTTAGGTCAAATTTGAAAACAACATAATTTTTTTTTTCATAATCTTAAAATATCACAAGAAGATAAAAATTTTTGATTTTTGAACTTTGAGTACCGTTAAAAATCTATCACTTTTTCTTAGAATCGAATTATCCTAAATTAAATATTAAAATCAAATACCAACTAATAAAATTTTGAAAAAAAATTTGTAAATTCTCTCGGATCAAACGCCCTTAATGTTTTTTCTGTAAATGGAAATTTGAGCTTGTATCAAGATTCAAGGGACAGTAATGGGCCTTGACTGAACAATTAAAAAGCTTATCTGTTAGGGCCGAGGTCAACCTATTAACTAAAGGCAGGCAGCCCTATTCCCTTATTGGGTTTGACTCCTGAGTCCTGACCCAAATCGTAGAAGGGGGAATGAAAAAGGAATGAGAAATGGAAAAAAGGGTAACATAACTTGGTTTGATAGTAAAAGCATTTGATTTGATTTAAGAATTCAAGTGAAACGAATCATATAGGTGAAGCACCAAGACAAAGCTGAAAATACTTAATTCCTTGTCCACATTCAAGAGCAAACAAAAAAACCAAGCTGTCATATATGTCTACATTACATTTTTGTTCATACCAGACACCAGAACACCAACGAATCACTTTAGCCTCTTGGCTTTTGCCATCTCCGATGATCTCCAAAACCCCAAGCTAATGATCTTCTCTCTCACAAAATGATCATATACTCAAAAAGGAAAGCACCAACAGAACTCTTGTTTGTGTTTCATATTCTTCTCTACTTACTCATCCATGTTCAAGCCAAGTGTAGAACTGGCTGCAGCCTTGCCTTTGCTTCTTATTATGTATGGGAAGGATCAAACCTCACGTACATTAGCACAGTCTTTAACCAGAAAATCTCTGAAATTCTTCTATACAATCCCCAAGTTTCAAGTCAAGATCAAATTGATGCCGGGACCAGAATCAACGTACCCTTTTCTTGTGACTGCTTAAATGGAGATTTTTTGGGTCACACCTTTTCTTACTTTACCCAGTTTGGTGATACTTATGACACGATTGCTAGCATCTCTTACGCTAACCTGACCACGGAGGATTGGGTGCGTAGGGTGAACGTTTATAATGCAACCAGAATACCAGATCATGAGACAATCAATGTTACAGTGAATTGTTCATGTGGTGATAGACGAGTGTCAAGAGATTACGGGTTGTTCTCGACGTACCCTCTCCGTCCGGGTGAAAATTTATCCCTCATTTCAACGGAGTCCAACGTATCAGCAGAGCTGCTGCGAAGGTACAATCCAGGGTCCAATTTCAGTGCAGGTACTGGACTAGTGTTTGTGCCGGCAACAGGTCAGTGATCACTTTTGAATGTCACGTAACGTTATATTAAATGTTGAATTGTCGATATCATTAAGGACTATTTTTGTTCCTACCATGTGAAGACCACAAAGAATAAGTCATGTGTGTTCAGAGCTGTTCATATATATATATATATATATATATATCTTAAAAACAAATACAGGCTAAAATTTTACTGTCATATGGAGGATTCTGATCACATTCGCTGACTGAGGGATGCATATAGCCAGATATCAGACAAAAACATGCGACGATAATTGCAGTAGGACAGGGCATATAGGGGAGTCCAATTCGTTCCTAAAGATAGAACTTAGTTGGCTACTTGGTCTTGTCAACACGGTATTCGTTGGCACTTTCTCTTGTTCTAAGTAAGGTTGAGTCTCGGCACTTTGTCTTGTTCTCTTTAGATAATTCCTAGTCATATGAAAAAATGAGTACTTCAGTTATTTCATATGCAAGCTGATTACTAGTAATGAAAGTTAGTCCATTATTTGTCTACGGTTGCCTTCATAGTTTGTAGGACGGTATTGAGTATTCCATATGGAAGTTGATGGGCAAACAATACACCATCAAATATCCATATACCTGGTTAGATGAGTGGTGGTTCTGTTCTTTTAAAGTGGGTTTGTGTTAAAGTTTGGTTGAGTAGAGATAGAAAAAATGAAGATTGATAATAAGATAACTGATCGGGGTTGCTTTGTCGATTTCCAATCATTAACTATTAGAGTAATTTTTAATACATTACTGTTACTGAATAAGAACAATTCCCTAACCAATCATGACATGGTCTCCTTTGTATGCTACTAATCTCTTTCAACGTGGTGGCCCATTCCTGTTTAAAGATAGTGAAATCTATGGAAAAATTACCCTGCAAAGGACTATATTAATCACAACTTGGCAACAGTATGAGAAAAAGATTAATGCTGCTCTTTGAATTTTCATTCATGTTGCTCTTTCTCTGAGGATACTAAAATCTGGCCAATTAGAAGGCAGATGTTGGAAAATGCTACTGTATTGTTTATTGCCAAATTCTTATTTTTTGTACAGAGTGTGAACTCAAATGTACTAATATTGCATAGATTTTGAAACTAGCCATTAATAATGATTGGAAATATATACAACTAAAATCTTAGGCCTTAATCAAAATCTTGACTTCTTTCTTATTAAATATACAATGAGATTATCTGTTATAACATTGTAGAGTATCATTCTCATAAGTGGGTTTTCAGCTTTTAATAGCCAGATTGATACCAATTTAATTGAACAAAAACGGATATCCTTTGCGAGAGAGTTAAAACTTTCAATAACAATATCATATTAAATTTGAATATGTTTTTTTATTTATTAGAAACTTCTGTGTATAAGCCTATAGCCACAAACATTCTTCAAGCAAAAGAATTATGACACTGACATCATATTCATAAGTAAATTAGTGTCACATAGGAAGGATAAACTTTGTTTTGGTTTTTGTTTTTGTTTTTCCAATTTGTTGTGAAGAGGGGTTAACAATTATTTGTGATTCCAGCTACATCTAATCGCTAACTGCTGAAGGCAATTTTGTTTATTAAAAACGATATTGCAGCTCGAGAAGGGTTGCTCATAAGTTTTACTAACTGTTTTCATTAAGTCTGGCCTTTTTTCCTATGCAGACCAAACTGGAAAATTTCCACCATTAAAGATCAGGTAATGGATATACCATCTTCCATGTAGCCTTGGACTGAATTGTAATGTTAGATAATGATTTATACAGTTGATCTAATGATTACATCCATTTTTCTGGTTTTTTCTTTCTTGCAGCACAACTGGTAAGATCATTCTCTACATATAGCTTCAATGTTCAATGCCTCTTGCCTTGATTTTCCAAGTGTACTTGTCAAGATGGTCTTGATATTGTCTTGAGCTTGACTTGTGGCATTTGAACCAGGAGTCTCCAGTAGAGTTATTGCCTGCATATCTATTGCAGGAGTTGCTGGGGCTTTGTTGTTGGGATTGTGCATATATGCTGGCCTTTACAAAAGGAAGAAGGTTGTGGAAGCATCATTACTCCTAGAAGCATCCCCAGACCACTACATTCAACACGGCCGTGGTGAATTTTCTCTCTTAGATTTCGGTTGATATATATATATATATATATATATATATTCTAAGGTGTTCCTGCTTCCGTTGGGAAAAAAAGAAGGAAGCAATGCATCCTGTTAAAGCAATTTAAACGAGAGCATAACCCAGTTTTGTTTTAATGCCTAATATGGACATGCCTTAAGACATTTCCTTTGTGTTTTTTAAGAAGCATCTTAGAACCTCTTGGACACCTACTCTCTTCTGGAATAAGTTTCTTGGCTAGTCCTCCTAACCATGACCTGATGCTAGATGGCAAAATTGTTGCTTTAATTAAGTGAAGCAACAATTTGGATACATTTGTTAATGTTCACAATAGGAATTCTCTTAGGACCTGGAACACCTGCAGGTAGCCCATCATTGATGGTGCTTATCAAATGCCAGTTTTTGATGGGCAGACAAATGTCTTCTTGAAAAACCTTTTACCATGAATATCCTGTCAATTGCATACTTCTTGTAGTAAAAATGATTCTATATGGACAATTACATTCAAGCTTGAAATTTACATCTATTTGTGATTAATCTTCTATATCCGTTGGTCTTGTGGTTTTAGGTTCCAAAGTTGCCCAGAAGAAAAATTCAGAAACAGCTGCTCTTTTTGCTTCTCCAGGCCTCACTGGTATCACAGTGGACAAATCTGTGGAGTTCTCATATGAAGAGCTTGCCAAGGCAACTGATGACTTTAGCATTGCTAATAAGATTGGACAAGGCGGCTTTGGATCTGTTTACCTTGCAGAACTAAGAGGCGAGGTACCTTGTCCTAATTCAATGTTATTTTCCTTGTTTAGTCCATTTTAGAGAATCTTAGTAGTTATTTATGAGGATTATTGTAGGGTGCATCACGTTTAAACCTGACCTGCTAATTTAATATGACCCCAACTCAGACTCTAAATGAATCCAATTTTTTGTCCTGTCTTGCAGAAAGCTGCAATCAAGAAGATGGATATGCAAGCATCAAAGGAATTTCTTGCTGAATTGAAGGTTTTAACACATGTTCATCACTTGAATCTGGTAGTGTGCCTTCCATATGGTATCCCATATCTTAAATTATCCCAGAAAAAAGAAAGATATGCCTCGGCTTATATCTTATCAGGAACATTAGTTTGCTTAATATAATTAAGCTTATTACTATTTGGATAACTGGGCTGAGCCGCTGAAGTGTTACATTTTTGCCAACAAGATTAAAGCAAATTGTTTATAACAATGGCAATGGCAGAGCTAGCATTTACTTTTGGAAGGGAGAAAAACAATCTAGGGCTCTGGCACTATTAACATATCATTTAGAATCACTTAACTGAGCAAAGCAATTTGGTGTATATTTCAATATTCGCTCTTCTTTGATCGCTTGGAGTTATTTGTTTCTACTCATATGATAATCGAAGCAGTCTTTAATCATCTGATCATGAACATATATCTGAATGTATATTCAAATTTCATGCAGGTGCGTTTGATAGGATATTGTGTTGAAGGTTCCTTATTCTTAGTCTATGACTTTATTGAGAATGGTAATTTAAGTCAACATTTGCGCCTGCGAGGTGAGAAACAAGCATTTATGAGTTTATGCACAATAAGCATCTTATATTACCGGAGAAAAATGGATTTTATTGGTGAAATATTGTGTTTCTTTTTTCAGATAGAGATCCATTGCCGTGGTCAGCAAGGGTGCAAATTGCTTTAGATTCAGCCAGAGGGCTTGAATACATACATGAGCACACTGTTCCTGTCTACATTCATCGTGATATTAAATCAGCAAATATTTTAATAGACAAGAACTTTCGTGCTAAGGTTATTGAATCTTTCAATATGATCTAGCAAAAACAAACATGCATTTTAATTAGTCTATATAATTGGATGTATGCATTGGTGCTCAGGTCGCTGATTTTGGGCTGACAAAACTTACTGAATTCGGAAACACTTCGTTGCAAACACGTCTCGTGGGTACTTTTGGATACATGTCACCAGAGTAAGAATGTTTCCCCTAAACGTATTGCTGTCAATCTGTGTGTTGTACAGAATAAAGGGCAGAGTTTATTCCCACTAAAATTGTTCTTCGAGTATTGACGTTAGCTTCCAGCCTTCCAGAGTAGTGATTTCTACCAGAGCATATATATCTATATATGAATCCATGCATATATCAATTTATCAAGTCTTGGGTTTCATGCTTTTCGAACGAGAAACTAGTTTGCCTCAATGTGGCATTGTCTGTAGGTATGCTCAATATGGTGATGTTTCCCCCAAGGTTGATGTATATGCTTTTGGAGTTGTTCTCTATGAACTAATATCTGCCAGGGAAGCTGTCGTGAAGACCAATGAAGAAGTAACTGAATCAATGGGACTTGTTGCTTTGGTATGTATGAATTATCACTTGTCTTGCCTTACTTTTGTTACTACAAGTGAATTCCTGTTCTCCATGATTATGTTTCAATGAATTCGTTTTGATATACGCAGTTTGAAGATGTTCTTAATCAGCCTAATCCAAGAGAAGATCTGCAAAAACTTGTTGACCCCAGGCTAGGCGATGACTACTCCTTTGACGCGGTCTGCAAGGTGAATTCTGATCCCAGTAAGCAAATGTAAGTATGGACTCGTTTTATCTCAATTCTGACAGACTTTCATGAATGTTTTTGATAGCAGATGGCACGTCTTGCCAGAGCTTGCACACAAGAAAATCCTCAGCTGAGGCCCAGCATGAGATCCATCGTTGTTGCACTTATGACACTGTCATCTTCAACTGAGGATTGGGATGTTGGCTCCTTGTATGAAAATAAAGCTCTAACCAATCTGATGTCAGGAAGGTAGCTTAGCCACTGCAATGTTAACTATTGATACCTTATAGTTGAAAGTGCCTCGAGAAAATAAAACCCCTTATCTCGTCTAGATTCATCTTTTACATACGTGAAAACTGGAATCCAAGTGCTGTACAGTTCCTTTATTCTGTATCGCTTTTTCCTTACGAAATTTTTGGGTTAATGATGGCTGGGAAGGATAAAAAAAAAAAAAGGTAGCAGTTGGAGATGACTAATGAGAGACAGCATATATTGAATAATTATGGGTATATATTACACACACATTATGTTTTCTTTTTTTTTTTGTATTATTTAAAGATTTTACCAGGCGCTGCCATCTATTATGAATAGATCCCACCACATGCATGATTCTGAAGCTGGCAAAACAACTACTACTCCATAAATAAGCCAATAAAAAGGAAAAGAAAGAAAAACTAATGAATCAACACTTAGTCTAACTGATTCATATAATTATTTTGACATTAGTAGATTTGAAATTTAAATTTTAACACATACAACCTATTCTCCTATCCTTAAATTATAGTTTCTTCTTAGATATATAAATTAATTGCTTCTCTCATTCTAAGGTTTCATTTGAAAGAAACAATGAAATTGATTGTGATGAGATTGAAAATAATGATAAAAATTATAATAATTGCAATTAAAAAAAAATATCGTAATTGCGATTAAAAAAATTTTTAATAAAAAATTTATATTAAATAAATCTCACTAAAATTAATATTTAGATTCAACTGATAATAAGATAAATTCAATCGTACCTCACCGAAAATGTGGTTGAATCCTGATGGGCTGAAATCACTTGATAAAAAGCTAAACCAAAAGCAGAAATTAAGAACAGTTCTTCATGAATTATGAAGCCTTTCTTGTCAATGACTCCATGCCTTGACCCTTAATTTTGCACCGTGGGCTTTAAGGCCATAATGCGCCCTAATGAGTAAAGAGTTATAGCGTTGTAAATATAATTAAGAGAGGAAAATAGCCTGTATCGAACTTTAGAACTTCCTTACCTTACAACATGCATATAATCCAAGTGCACCCACAGGCTCTTGCCTCTGTCTTTCAGAATCACTCTTTTTTTGTTGTACTAATAACGTCAAAGTCAGTTGGCATATATTTGCAGGGGCAGCCTTATAAACTATCGTTTAAGAGGACTTTTTCGGGATGGCATTTTTTTTGAAGGGTAAACATGCTTATATTGATAGAGAAAGGATATAGTTTACGGGATAAAATAACCAGGAGCAAAGGAATTAAAAACAAAGATGAGAAGTAGAGAAATATTGTGATCCTTGAGCTCCAGAAGTCCAGATTTAACCAATCCGTCAGCAATGGAGTTTTGTTCTCTTGGAATGTGAGAGATGACAGCGAATTTGACTTTGGATTTGAGTTGCTGAATATGGGTGGAGAAAATTCTTCATGCGCCAAGGATCGTTTGATGCATCTTCAGTCCATAGAACAACATTTTTGCAATCACTTTATTATCAGGATAGTTAGAATGGTAGTTGATCACTCTATACGTAAAATTGTAATGTGTGTGTATATATATATATATATATATATTTCTAGTTCTTCTGTCTGTTCATTATTGATTCATTTTGTTCAATACGAAATGATGTTTAACTACATGTTATATTGAAATTCTCAAGAAAAAAAAAAAAGAAAGGAAACAGCTTAAGCTAATTATGCATGTTGGCATCATCACGTGTGATTTGCAGAAGTGGGACACTTCGACACTATTTGTAATGAATTAGTGATGCACATTTTCACATATATATTGATAATTTGTTTGTGAGCGGATAGAAATGGAAACCAAGCATTGTCTTTATGTTAGCATATATTATTTTTATTCAAGTGATGTCAAATTAATGCATTGCTGCACCTCACGTCTTCATCCTTTTTTATCATTTTCAACCACTCAATGCCAATCCAATCACATGATGATCATTCAATCAGATAAGGTACAAAATCCACCTTCCAAATTTAGTGTAAAAATTTTCAATCCATAAATTATTCTATTTAACAAAAACATTAAATTTTACAAATTTTCTTACGGTATACTTGATAAATTTCAAATACCAAAAAATAATAATAGAATTGCCCTAGGAAATGGAAAGTGAAGAAAAGGATAAACAAGGCATCACAATTTGCAAATTAGTCCATTATTTTGGTAATGGCCTTCATGACTTTATTATTCCATTAAGACATGATGGCAAACCAAATACAATAATTACATCTATGCATAGTTGCCGAATACCATAACGTAAGCTTCACGTAATGCATTGTCAGCCATCCATTATGTCTTCATGTTCAGCTCAATTATGATTTTATGTTCCGTCATACTACACATGGTTGAGAACTTTGAATCCTTCAAGTATTATAATTTAAAAATTCAATTGTATTCAAAGGAGTCGCCACGGTTTGAGTGTTTGTAATTTGACTTCATTAGCATAGATATCTCATCAAGAGCTATGATTGCCTAGAATAGGAGATTTACTAAAAAAAGAATGGTGAGCTAGAAGGTTCAATCTGACGACCAAATTTACTTACTGTTCAGTGTTTGATTATCAAAACTGGAAAAGATGATGCTTCTTTTTCATTTTTGTTGAATGCGACAATTCAATATTGACAATATATATATATATATTTCTTAATTCCATATATAGATACTAGTTATATCAATTTTTTTGACTTTTACTTCTTTATCGCAGTATATTTTGCGGCCATCACCTAACTTTTTTTTTTTTTTTGACTTGGAAGATGTCTATTTAATTAGTTAACTGACCGCTTTTCATTTCTGAATGTGAGGCAATGGCCTTTTCAAGAGTTTTGAGCTAAGTCACGGATTAAACTCTGCATCCACCGCACGGCACACAGGGCCGCATCAGTTACTCTTTCTGTGCCTAGTACCAACTGCTTTTCCGTGACAATCCCATTCTTCGCATTAATGCCACATTCCAATTCATTGGGCATTACATGAAAAAAGAAAACTCCAATTTTTTGTTTCACCCGGTGTAGTAGTAATTAAGAAGAGAGCTATCTTCAAGCTTTCTAGTTCATATCAAAGACAATATGAATTTCAGTAAAACTCTGAATACAATTTCAAGATAATTGAATTAAGTAAATAAAAAAAGTGAAGGTTTTCATTTCATTATTTTGATCCTAATGGTCTTTTCTAAAAAAATTTAAATGACAGGAAAGTATCTTATTTTAAGATGAGTCTATGCTGTAACTCTTGACATGAACTTATATTAAACTAATATATAGCTTAAAAATTAAATTTAAATTTTACAAGTGGGATATTTGATTCTTATAAATTTAATCAACATCATGCACTCTTAGTGGTTTATTTCAAGGCTTTGAAATCGAACTTTGTTTTACTCATGAAAGATGACATAAGGAGATAATGGGTTACCATTTATTGGACCAACTCAAAAAAAAAAAAAAAATTTCTTTTAGTAAAAAAATGTTTGGTATGCATTGATTTTTATAGAATTTTAAAAAAATTTTGATTTAACGTATTTAATATTAAAATTTAAATTTTTTATAAAATCAAAATTTCATAATTTTTAATGTTAAAAATTAAAAAAATCATAAAAATAATTTTAAAATATAAAAATAAATATTTTTAAAAAATAAAATATAATTTTAAGAGGCAATAAAGGGAATACAAATAATGATAGTTTGTAGCAGATACTACTTGCAATAATTTTAGAAGGCAAAAGATACTGTTTCAAGGATAATTCACTATAGTATTTTGTTAATATGGAAATGGGAGTGAATGGTTACTTAGAATCTACGTGTCAACTCTTAATACGACTGTGATGGGGGCCAATATATAAGACAGCAATTTTTAGAATTTTACCCAAATTTGTTTTATTTTTATTTAAGAAAAAAAACTCAACCACCTATATCTTTGTTGTCTCCTGCTCTTCCCAGTTCTAACAGCCACCCCACACCACGCAGCTTACGCTATATCCACGCGGCCACATCGCCAAATCACAATACAACGCTCCTAAAACATTAATCGCTTTCTCCATTGTCGATTCTCTTCAATCAAATTCGTCCGTGGTCCACGCTCCTATGCCGCGACTCAGACCAAAAGCCCATCCTAACAAAAGTAGCCGTTGCTAGACCCACGTGGCAGTTTGCCGACATCGAAGGCTACCATATACTCTTCCCATATAATTATACTTAAAAGAAATTAAAGCAATTAAAAATATAAAAAATATCAAATCGTCGATTTGGGAGACGACATCGAAAGAAGGAGACCCTACCAAAACGTAACATCAAGCCAACCAGAACAAAACCAACACTCTATAGTTACCATTTGCAAATCTCTTTTTCATCCCAACAAAATCTGTGTAAGAAATTAAAAATCTTTGTTTGTTTGGCTTCTACCGAATTTCGGTTTCTAGCTTTAGGTGATTTTGCCTCTTATCTAGAAGAAAAGAATGATTTTTTATGGTTGTCGGTTGCGTGCATTACACTTTCCCTGGCTTAGTAATGGAGGAATGTTCTTGCTTTGATTGAGTTCTGAAGCGATCCAAACACTCTCTAATTCAACTTCTAATCTGCAGCAGCCAAAAGAAAAAGAAAAAGAATCTCTTTGACTTTGGCTTTTTAGATATCCAGAAATTGTTCGTTTTTCACTTGAAGAATAAAAAACAGAAACAAGTAAGATTTTTTTTTTATTCTACTGGAATGTTTCCTTTGTTTTCCTTTCCTGCTGATTTGTGTTGATTGTGATTGAATTTATTCATATTAAAGGAGAAGACATGAAAAGAATTGTTCCTTCTTTAATGGTTACAATAGTAGTATTATGTAACTGAATTCCATCTTTAGTTTGGAAATAATAGTTTTAATTAGTGACAAATACTACCCTTTTTTATGCTTATATTGGAAAGGCAGTGATCTTTCCGTGAGGTTTCTGTTTATAGCAGGAATTTATGGCAACCTTGACAGTTTAATTGTTTTAATTATGGTGGATTTCCTGATTTGGAATTATCTTTGTTTATGCAGGGGAGGTTTTATATAGATGGCGACACTAGGAGATATAGGGGTTGCAGCAGCCATTAATCTGCTAAGTGCTTTTCTATTCTTTCTAGCTTTTGCCATATTGA